TAAGCATGACAGCCGGCTGAGTGGCTTTGGGCCAATCATCAGGAGACAGTGAGTTCTAGTTTCAACTTAGTCATGGCAGCCTACTAGAATGACTTTGGGCCAATCACCAGGAGTCTGGGAATTCTAGTCCTGCCTTAGGTATGAAAGCCTGCTGGGTGACTTTGGGCCAATCACCAGGAGACTGTGAGTTCTAGTCCTGCCTTAGCCATGAAAGCCTGCTGGGTGACTTTGGGCCAATCACCAGGAGACTGTGAGTTCTAGTCCTGCCTTAGGCATGAAAGCCTGCTGGGTGACTTTGGGCCAATTACCAGGAGACAGTGAGTTCTAGTCCCGCCTTAGGCATGAAAACCAGCTGGGTGGCTTTTGGCCACTCCCTCGCTCTCAACCCAACCCACCTCACAGGGTCCTTGTTTTGGGAAAAATAGGAGGAAGGTGTTTTAATTATGTTCACCTCCTTGAGTTACTTATGAAATTATAAAGAAGGAAGGAAGGAAGGAGAAGGGGAAGGAAGGAAGGAAGGAAGGAAGGAAGGAAGGAAGGAAGAAAGAAAGAAAGAAAGAAAGAAAGAAAGAAAGAAAGAAAGAAAGAAAGAAAGAAAGAAAGAAAGAAAGAAAGAAAGAAAGAAAGAAAGAAAGAAAGAAAGAAAGAAAGAAAGCCTTTTATCTTAGCAGCCCATTCTGGAGAGAGGAATTTTGGAAGAGGAGGGAGAGAGAGGAAGGAAGGAAGGAAGGAAGGAAGGAAGGAAGGAAGGAAGGAAGGAAGGAAGGAAGAAAGAAAGAAAGAAAGAAAGAAAGAAAGAAAGAAAGAAAGAAAGAAAGAAAGAAAGAGAGAAAGAAAGAAAGCTTTTTATCTTAGCAGCCCATTCTGGAGAGAGGAATTTTGGAAGGGGAGGGAAAGAGAGGAAGGAAGGAAGGAAGGAAGGAAGGAAGGAAGGAAGGAAGGAAGGAAGGAAGGAAGGAAGGAAGGAAGGAAGGAGGGAGGGAGGGAGGGAAGGATTAGGTTTTCAGAGGATTTCTGAAATCAAGCCAGAGAGGTTCTTATGTTAGAAAAAGCATCTGAGGGCAAGACAAGGAGTAATCAGCGGAAGAAAAAGTGATCTAATCTAGAATTAAAAAGAAATTTCCTGCCAGTGAGAAAAATAAATCAGTGGAACAACTTGCCTCCAGAAATTGTGGCTGCTCCATAACTGGAGGTTTCCAAGAAGAGACCGGACAGCCACTTTTCTGAAATGGCATAGGCCAGGGTCTCCTGGTTAGGCAAAGGGTTGGACTAGAAGACCTCGGAGGTCCCTCCCAAACCTGTGATTCCATGTTCCCTTCTGGCAAGCAAAGTGCGAACGAAGCAACCAGAATTCAGAAAAGAATCTGGTGCCACTTTTGAAGGGTAACTATTTTTGTTAAAATAGCAGAAGGTTTTATGAACTGCAAAGAATCACAAGCAGTGCATTTAATGAAGCAGGATATTATTCACAAGAGATTTCTGCCTTTCGGTAAAATGTGTTCATTTTAAAAGGTGCTTTAAAAAAAACAATCAACCAATTGGTTAATGTTTTGACCGCTGGTTATAATAAATAAACTGCAAGAGTAAAGCTCCAAGGTCTCTTCCAAACTCTGAATTATTCTGAATTAGGGACCCAGATAAACTCTTGATTTATGCATTTAACGTCGTGATTAAATGTGTATAATTATCCTCCCTGAAGAAAGGGATGGCAAAACAAGACAATTACTGTTTATTCAGGAAAACAGGCTTCAGCAAACCATACTTAGGACGTAAAATCATAGAACATCGAATCATAGGGCTGGAAGGGACCTTAGGAGGTCATCTAGTCCAACCTGCTCAAGAGCCTTGGTGGCGCAGCGGACTAAAGTGCTGTTAAGTAACACTTAAGCTGCCTGCAATTGCTGCGAGTTCAAATCTCACCAGGCTCAAGGTTGACTCAGCCTTCCATCCTTCCGAGGTAGGTAAAATGAGGACCCGGTTTGTGGGGGCAATAAGCTGACTTTGTATAAAAAAAGAACACCGCTTAGGGGGGCCCGAAAGCCCTACTAAGCAGGTATATACAAAAAGTACGAAGGCTATTGCTTAACGCATTGTAAGCCGCCCTGAGTCTCCGGAGAAGGGCGGCATATAAATCGAACCAATCAATCAATCAATCAATCAATCAGGCAGGAGACTTCATACTATCTCGGTCAAATGATTATCCAGTATTTTTGAAAACCTCCAGCAATAGATGGTCAATCACATAATAGGTACATTTAACTGTCTTGCTTAGCTACAGAAATTTGGGGATAAATTGTGGTCGTAAATTGAGGATTGCCTGTATGAAGACAAGATACATGTGATGTAGTCCTTGCTTAACGACCATTCAAAGTTACGACGCACCTGCCCAAGGCTAGTTATGATCTGTTTTTGATGTCCACACATCAAAAACAGGTCATAATAGCCCTGGGGAGGTGCGTCGTAACTTTGAATGGTCGTTAAGCAAGGACTACATGTATCATCGCCTAACTTGCCCCAATAAGGGTAATCCTCAATTTACAACCACCCCTGTGGTCACAGGATTGATTATATCTTGGGCACTTATCAATCAACTTCTATTTACCACTGTTTGCAGTGTCCCCCAATTATATGATAAATATTTTCAGTAGTTTTTGCTGGTTTCTGGGGTTGATTTCCACTGTCTGGGGAAAAAATGCCCATTGGTGAAAATTGGTTCACTTAATGACAGATGCAAATTAAGGTCGTAAAATCAGACACAGCCATGCGCTGGCTCGCTTAACAACTGTATTTCCAGCCTTAATTATGATCGTAAGCCGAAGACCACTGTATAGTGCACAATAATAGAATTGGAAAAAGAATTTTTCAAACTGAAAGCCAGAAATGATGTCAGCGCCACCTTGTGGTCGCAAGCAGGAAGTTATTATTAATTGCAATTAATATTGAGGAAGGAAGGAAGGAGGGAGGGAGGGAGGGAGGGAAGGATGGATGGAAGGAAGGAAGGAAGGAAGGAAGGAAGGAAGGAAGGAAGGAAGGAAGGAAGGAAGGAAGATTTCTTAAACCGACCTCACAACTTTTAATTCCTTAATGAAACGGTAGTCTATAATAACTCCACTGCTTTATTTTTAAGATGTTCCCAACCCTGCTGTGCTCCTTTTTGACTTAAGGATTTTTGTGCAAATGCAGCTGTTTCAAAACCAGGTTTCTGCTTTTTGTAGTATACCCTTCTTCTCCCCGATGTTCTCCAGATGTGTTTCGACACAACGCTTGCTGATTTCCATGTCCACGTTCTTCAGGGGAGAAGAATGAAGGTATAGCTGTCAGAAATTCCAATTCTTATGAAAAAGAAGGACAATTGTAGAATCACATAAAAGCTCAAATAATTCGTGTTTGAAATATTTCAAATTCATTCGAAATAGGAAGTGTTAACACCGCTTTATAAGGCCTTGGTAAGGCCACACTTGGAATCCTGCATCCAGTTTTGGTCGCCATGATATAAAAAAAGATGTGGAGACGCTGGAAAGAGTGCAGAGAAGAGCAACCAAGAGGATTAGGGGATTGGAGGCTAAAACAGAATGGTTGATGGAATTGGGTAGGTCTAGTTTAATGAAAAGAAGGACTAGGGGTGACATGATAGCAGTCTTCCAATATTTGAGGTGCTGTTGTGGCTCCGTTACCTGAGCCTGTGTCATCGGCAGGAGAGGACTCCGAGAGTGAAGGAGAGGAGTTGGCAAGGCCTCCCTCTCCAGGACCCTCCTCTCTGGCAATGCCTTTGGTGTCCACCGAAGGGCAAAAGATAGGGCCGGGGCCAAGCATGTCCACGCAGCCACAGATGGACAGTGATGAGGGAGATGAGTCTTGGCTGGATCCACGCCAGCGTCGCAGAAATAAGCGCGTGCAACAGAAGAAAAGGCATGCCAGAGATTAAGCTGAGTCACTGGACCACACCCCACAGGGGATAAAAGGGGGTAAGGTGGCCATTGAGACTCTGTGACGGACAAAACTAACTACTATCGAGTCACATTGCATCTTTGGAAACAACATTATCGGCCTTGGGTTTATTTTACGAACTGGACAATTATTGAACTGTGTGTATTTTGTTTATGAGTAAAGTTCTTGGCAAGCAGCTACTGGGTTACTGCCAAGCTTCTTATTGGAAGAATTGGTTGTCTGCCAGTTTATTTAACCCCCGGCTGTCTGTTTGTGTGCGTGTGTGAGACGGGGACTGAACAGGTGCTGCCACAGAGAAGAGGGCGTCAAGCTATTCTCCAAAGCACCCGAAGGCAGGACAAGAAGCAATGGATGGATATTAATCAAGGAGAGAAACAATGTGGAACTAAGGAGAAACTTCCTGACAGTGAGAACAATTAACCAGTGCAACTACTTGCCACCAGAAGTTGTGGGTGCTCCATCACAGGGGGGTTTTAAGAAGAGGTTGGACAACAATTTGTCTGAAATGGCATAGGATTTCCTGCCTGAGCAGGGGGTTGGACTAGAAGACCTCCAAGGTCCCTTCCAACCGGTAGTGGGATTCAGCCGGTTCGCACCAATTTGTTAGAACCGGTTATTAACTTTCTGAGCAGTTTGGCAAACTGGTTGTTGGAAGAAATCATTAGGGCAGAGAACCGGTTGTTAAAATTACTTGAATCCCACCACTGCTTCCAACTGTTTCTTTGTTATATTCTGTTAAAATGATTTTATATTCTTTTGAAAATTATATTTACAATTCAAAATAACTATAATTGAATAAGTCACCAATCAAGAAGGCTCCAAACCTGATGTGTGTCTATGATTTTGTTTGGGCCCAGTCTTGCTCTTTTAATTTTTAAAAAAGTTTTGCAATTTCTATCCGATCTTTCATGCAAACACATTTATTCTCTTATTCCCATTCTTGCGCAGCGACTTTCAATGTAGGCGAGCAAAAAAAAAATGGGGCACAGGTTCTTGAAAAGAAGGTCACGCACAAACGGCAGACAAAATTAAACAGTTGTTAACAGTCCAAATGTTGGTTCAGTTTTGGCTTTTAATTACAAATCTCGTACAGCCGGCTTATTTCAATGCGTTTAAAATCCCATATAATCAAGACATTTCTCCCCCAAATCTGCATTCATATATTTCACGAAGCTGAATAAAGTGCAAGTGACACAAGACTTCATAACTTATAAAAATGGCTGATAGAACCAGCGAAATCAGAGATCAAACATCTTCGGATTTACCTGACATCGTAATTGCAGGGACAGTCATAATGTTAATATGTTCCCGAGTTCAATAACTTTTTCTTCAAGTTATTAGAAATGCAAGGAAGGAAAAGGCATTCAAAAAAGACACACCGAGTGACAAAACCACAAAAAAAAGATACAAAAACAGATGTATTGTAAAGCAGAGTTTCTCAATTTATGTTGGGTGGACTTCAACTCCCATAATGCCGTAGCTGATATCTACAGACTTCAACTCCCAGTATTCTCCAGCCGGGATGTCGACTGGGAATGCTGGGAGTTGAAGTCCACCTATCCAAAAGTTGTTAACGTTGAGAAAGGCTATTAATAAAGAATAATTCAACGAAGGTCATAAAATTGTGTGTGACAATAAAGAGCAGTTAAAAAGGACGCAACGTGCACATTGAGGGTAACAGATGTCTGATCCACGATTTGGAATTTCAAAAGTAGATGGGTTTATGCTAAGGTTTGAGGAGACTGAATTAAACAGAAGATTAAGCGACTATCCAATTTTTGGACGGGGCAAAACTCACTCTGCAACTTGTCTCGCTGAGCAACGACAACGTATGGCTTCGATTGTGGTTGTTAAGTTGAGGACTACCTGTAATGCTTTCATTTGTAGATTTATTTCATTTGGCACGCAAAAGGAATAAGGAGTTTGGACTGTAGTGGAAACAAGGTGATAGGATGGTGGTTGATTTCTCAGGATGACGGAAAACATGTGAATTGTTACGGTTTAGCACAACTGCCCTTAGTCCGAATCTTTGTCATCGATCCTTGTTTGCAGGGATACAGATCACATTAATTTTACTACAATATTAAGCATTCACTGCTCTTTTAAAAGGAGGATAAAACAGAAGAAATGAAAACACTTTTGGTCCTTGGCAAAACACGGTACTTTCAAAATTTGTCATCTCTCGTTGAAAGCTTATTTCTCTACAGTTTGATCCCCAAGCCCCCAAAATTGAAGTTTGATTCTAACACAAATATGACTTTTTTCCACCCCTTTGGATTAGCAGAAGCCCAAAAGGTACAGGGAAGGCAGCCCTTGACTTACAACAGTTCATTTAGTGACTTAAAGGAAGCTGTTTCTTCAGAATGTAAATTGAAAAAGCTTCAAATGAATTTGGGGTGTTCTGTAAAAAAAACCCCGAAAAAAATGCTCTTGGACGATGCTACGGATAAAGACTGTTCCATAATGGAAATTCAACTCCATCTAACTTTTCAAAAACAAAAAAATTGGTTTATTTTACATGGGAAATTTCTATAGGAAGAGTTAAAAAACAAACAAACGAACAAACCAAGAGTAAAAATAAAACAAGCCAATGGCACTTCAACGACTCAAAAATGTTCTGTGGCACCTGGACATTTATTTGGAAAATACTCTTGAAAAATATGGCCAAAAGACAAATCATTTCATTTTCCTATTGTGCACCCACAGACTTATAAATGGGGTGGGTGTGAATTTAACAATCACCACAATGTTTGGGGAAGACCTCCGATCTGGAAAATTTTTCCTTATTGCAATACTGTTATTTAGATAGATATATATATTTCCCTGCTCTGTTTCAAGGACTTATGGCAAGTTGGAAAGATCCACTGGTTGGTTAGTGAATCGTAAATCTAGGGCAGTGTTTCTTAATCTCAGTAGTTTAAACCATGTGGACTTCAACTCCCAGAATTCCCCAACCAGCTTGGGGAATTCTGGGAGTTGAAGTCCACAGGGCTTAAAAGTTCTTGAATTTGAGAAACACTGTTCTATCGGATACTGGAGATGGGATCCAGCTTCTGAAACACTCAACTTCGTTATTCATTTTAAAATTTACTTTTAAAAACCCAGAAAGACGAAAGCAATTCCTGTTGAAATAATAAAAAAACTCCTGTTGAAACCAAAAAACTCCTGTTGAATATCAAAAAAACTCCTGTTGAAATCAAAAGGAAGACAGCAGAAGACATTTGAAGGACTGGAATGGTTAATGAAATGCAAACTAAGCTGTGAAGACTTCCGTGGCTAAGCTTAGATATTATGCAATTCCTGCAGAGGCGCCACAACGCAACACAGATATCATACATCATGTCCGATGAGGCTGTCCGTCTCGCGTTCCCTAGCTTTGCCCTCCAAGGATGTCGACAGCACCACCCACGGTGCATCGGTGAAGAATGTGCCCTTTGGCAAATATGGCGATGCGACTCACAGGCTGGTCACACACACGTGTGCCCAGAGGGGAGTTGTGTCCCTCCGTCAGTTTTTGCACAGAGCGTTTGGCTTGGAAATTTGTCTGTGTGAGTCGACCTTCCAACTCTTGTTACTGATGATATCCCAGGAAAGAGGAGGAGGAGGAGAAGAAGGAGGAGGTGGTGGAGGAGGAGGAAGAGGAGGAGGAGAAGAAGAAGGAGGAGGTGGTGGAGGAGGAGGAAGAGGAGGAGGAGAAGAAGAAAAAGAAGAAGAAGAGAAGAAGTAGAGGAGGAGAAGAAGAAGAAGAAGAAGAAGAAGAAAAGAAGAGGAGGAAGAGAAGAAGAAAAAGAAGAAGAAAAGAAGAAGAAGAGAAGAAGAAGAGGAGAAGAAGAAGAAGAAAAAGAAGAAGAAAAGAAGAAGAGGAGGAGGAGAAGAAGAAAAAGTAGAAAAGAAGAAGAGAAGAAGAGGAGGAGAAGAAGGAAAAGAAGATGAAGAAGAAGAGGAGGAGGAGAAGAAAAAGAAGAAGAAAAGAAGATGAAGAAGAGGAGGAGGAGAAAAGAAGAAGAAAAGAAGAAGAGAAGAAGAGGAAGAAGAGAAAAGAAGAAGAAAAGAAAAAGCAGAGGAGGAGAAAAGAAGAGAAGAGGAAGAGGAGGAGGAGAAAAGAAGAAGAAAAGAAGAAGAGGAGGAGGAGGAGGAGGAGGAGGAGGAGGAGGAGAAGAAGAAGAAGAAGAAGAAGAAGAAGAAGAAGAAGAAGAAGAAGAAGAAGAGGAGGAGGAGGAGGAGGAGGAGGAGGAGGAGGAGGAGGAGGAGGAGGAGGAGGAGGAGGAGGAGGAGGAGGAAGACGTGGCATTTTGGCTTCTTGGAAAAAAGGCACCTTTTAGTGTCAAACTGTGAAAAACAACCCAGGTGGAACTTAGAAGGGCTGGTCCCATTTCAAAAGGGAAGACATGCACAGTCTATGGAGACAACCGACAAGCACACACAGTGACGTACGTCGAGGAATCGTGGAAGATGGCGCAGAGCGAGAGAAGGCCTCAGATGCTCGTGAGAACTTGGCTACTCAACAACTGCACCTTAAGAAGGCCGGGCAGATCCGAAACCCGTTTGTTCCCTCTGTCTTGGAGGTGGAGAATGTGCAAAGGCTGAAGCTCGTTGGGGTCTCCGACCAAGGCGACTTGACCCAGAAACTCATCTGTGATCAGGTTGTGGTTCCAGATCTGGAGGGAGAGAAAGAGGAAGGAGGTTCAGGGGAGAAATCACTGAATCACAGAGTTGGAAGGGACCCTGGAGGTCTTCTAGTCCAGCCCCCTGCTCAAGCGAACCTATGGCACGCATGTCACAGGTGGCACATGGAGCCATATTTTTGGGCACGCGAGCATTGCCCTAGCTCAGCTCCAGCCCGCATGTGTGCGCTGACCAGCTGATTTTTGGGCCTTTGGGGCCCACTGTAAGTCTGGAAACGGGCCGTTTCTGGCCTCCAGGGGAGTGGGGAAGGCTGTTTTCGTCCTCCCCAGGCTCCTAGAAAGCCTCTGGAGCCTGGGGAGGGCAAAAAAATGGGCCATGTGCCAAAAAAGCGGGGTCGTACAGGGCAGCGGGCATCGAATTATAGGTGTGGGCACGTGCACGCTCGACCCCCCCATGCTTCCCCCCGCTTTTGGCACGCGATGGCAAAAAGGTTAGCCATCACTGCCCTATCCCATTTCAGACAAGTGGCTGTCCAGTCTCTTCTTAAAAACCTCCAGCGTTGGAGCATTCACAACTTTCTGGTGGCAAGCAGTTCCACTGGTTAATTGTCCTCACTGTCAGGAAGTGTCTCCTTAGTTCTAGGTTGCTTCTCTCCTTGATTTAGTTTCCATCCGTTGCTTCTTGTCCTGCCTTCAGAGTCCTTGGACAATAGGTTGACCCCAGCGGTGAATTCCGGCCGGATCTCTCCGGATCGCGCGAACCGGTAGCACCAGCTCCACCCACCCGCCGGGATGTCATTACGTCCTATTTTTGAGCCTCTGCACATGTGCAGAAGAGGCACGCGTGAGCGGTCATACTCCTGAACGGGTAGCGAAGGTAAGTGCATTTTACCGCTGGCTGACCCCTCCTCTTATTTTTGGGGCAGCCCCTCAAATATTGGAACACTGCTATCAAGCCAGCCTTCATTAGATTAGACAAACCGTTCTTTGTATGTTTTAGCCTCCAGTCCCCTAATCCTCTTTGTCGCTCTTCTCTGCACTCTTTCCAAAATCTCAACATCTTTTTTACACCGTGGCGACCAAAACCGGATGCCGTATTCCAAGCGTGGCCTTACCAAGGCCTTATAAAGTGGTATTAATACTTCACCTGATCTTGATTCTATCCCTCTGTTGATGCAGCCTAGGACTGCGTTGGCTTTTTGGTCCTTTATGTGCCGTGACTCGTTGGCCTCCAACTCGGGAGTTGCTCTAGAGCAAGAGTCCCCAAACTTGGCAGCTTTAAGACTTGTGGACTTCAACTCCCAGAATTCTCCAGCCAGCATAGCTGGAGACATTTTAAAACTTGTGTGGGTGAGAGCTGCAGAAAAGCTCCGTGATTGATTTGAGTGATTGGCATTTCGACAGGGGAAAGAAAGTAAACACTGGAAATTTAAGAAAATGGAATGTATTTGAGCCTCGTCTTCACATGGGTGCAACTGGGACCTGCTGGGGGATTCTGGGTATTAGAGGATGAGGATCACCAAAGCTATTTTATTTATTTTATATGTTATTTATTTTATTTTATATTTTATTTAAGTTATTTTATACAGTGTTTTCCTGAAAATAATACCCAGTCTTATATTTTTTTGAACCCTGAAATGAGCGCTTGGCCTTATTGCCATGCGCTCAAAAGCCGGATTGGGCTTATTATCAGGGGAATGTCTTATTTTGGGGGAAACAGGATATTTTATTTAAGTTATTTTATATTTTGTTTAAGTTATATTTTATTTAAGTTATATTTTATTTAAGTTATTTTATATTTTATTTTATTTATTTTACATTTTATTTAAATTATTTTATATTTAATTTATTTTATATTTTATTTAAGTTATTTTACATTATATTGAAGTTATTTTACATTTTATTTGTTATTTTACATTTTATTTAAGTTATTTTACATTTTATTTGTTATTTTATATTTTATTTGTTATTTTACATTATATTTAAGTTATTTTATATTTTATTTAAGTTATTTTACATTTTATTTAAATTATTTTATATTTTATTTAAGTTATTTTATATTTTATTTGTTATTTTATATTTTGTTAAAGTTATTTTATATTTTATTTATTTTATACATTTTATTTAAGTTATTTTATATTTTGTTTAAGTTTTTTTGTTTTTTTAAAAATTTGATTTATATGCTGCCCTTCTCCGGAGACTCAAGGCGGCTTACAATGCGCTAAGCAATAGCCTTCATCCTTTTGTATATTTATACAAAGTCAGCTTATTGCCCCCACAAACTGGGTCCTCAATTTACCTACCTTAGAAAGGATGGAAGGCTGAGTCAACCTTGAGCCTGGCGAGATTCGATCTTACTTTAATTGCAGGCAGCTGGTGTTGAATTACAGAGCTCTGTCTGTTGAGCTATCCAGGCTCCCTTTATATAACTTTATATATAAAGTTGCTTTATATTTTATTTTATGTTGCCCATCTCGCTGTCCAAAGCAACTCTTTCAGCTTTACCTGAATTATGACCGGCTGCCTCGGTTTCTTGCGGTAGAAAAGTCCTTTAACATCAAATTCCGGCGTCAGGGTGTTTTTTAGCACCGGTGATCGGATTTTCTCCCCTTCACACTTTATGATCACATAAGGATCCACTCCTGAGGACAAGGTGAAACAAAAGGAATTGTCACCTCATGTTTCCTGTTCCTCTTAAGTAAGTAAGCCTGTCCTGTCTTCTTGATTCTTAAATTCGTTGATTCTTAAATTCCTTCCTTAAAATTCGCATGATAATTGTATGACCAGTTTCCAAAATCCTCCAAATATCTCTGTATGCCCTTCGGCCAAACTTCGTCTACCACTATGAGGAATGTAAGAGGTGAAGGAGAAATTCCACTAATAGAAAAATAATTTATACCTGGGGATTGAACTGTGGGGTCCTTGGTGGTCTCTGAGCTTGGTTGTTTTCTTGAAGACCTCTCATGACCCACCTAGGTAACATCCTCAATGCTAGAAGGGTATGGGGTTTGCTCTCTGTTTATATGCAAGAAGCTTGCTTGCAAAGAGCAAACCTCACTCCCTTCTAGCATTGAGGATGTTACCTAGTTGGGTCATGAGACGTCTTCAAGAAAACAACCAACCTCAGAGAGCATCAAGGACTCCATAGTTGTTGTCTTCTTCTTCCACCAGATGTTTCAACTACTTAGAACAGTGTTTCTCAACCTTGGTGACTTGAAGATGGGTGGACTTCAGCTCCTGAATTCTCAACCTTCTCAACCTTAACAACTTGAAGATGGGTGGACTTCAACTCCCTGAATTCTCAACCTTCTCAACCTGAACAACTTGAAGATGGGTGGACTTCAGCTCCTGAATTCTCAACCTTCTCAACCTTAACAACTTGAAGATGGGTGGACTTCAACTCCCCGAATTCTCAACCTTCTCAACCTTAACAACTTGAAGATGGGTGGACTTCAACGCCCTGAATTCTCCACCTTCTCAACCTTAACAATTTGAAGATGGGTGGACTTCAACTCCATGAATTCTCAACCTTAACAATTTGAAGATGGGTAGACTTCAACTCCCCGAATTCTCAACCTTCTTGACCTGAACAATTTGAAGATGGGTGGACTTCAACTCCCCGAATTCTCAACCTTCTCAACCTTAAGAACTTGAAGATGGGTAGACGTCAACTCCCCGAATTCTCAACCTTCTCAACCTTAACAAGTTGAAGATGGGTGGACTTCAACTCCCCAAATTCTCAACCTTCTCAACCTTAAGAACTTGAAGATGGGTAGACTTCAACTCCCTGAATTCTCCACCTTCTCAACCTGAACAACTTGAAGATGGGTAGACTTCAACTCCCTGAATTCTCAACCTTCTCAACCTTAAGAACTTGAAGATGGGTAGACTTCAACTCCCCGAATTCTCCACCTTCTCAACCTGAACAACTTGAAGATGGGTAGACTTCAACTCCCAGAATTCTCAACCTTCTCAACCTTAACAACTTGAAGATGGGTAGACTTCAACTCCCTGAATTCTCAACCTTCTCAACCTGAACAACTTGAAGATGGGTGGACTTCAACTCCCCGAATTCTCCACCTTCTCAACCTTAAGAACTTGAAGATGGGTAGACTTCAACTCCCCGAATTCTCCACCTTCTCAACCTTAACAACTTGAAGATGGGTAGACTTCAACTCCCTGAATTCTCAACCTTCTCAACCTGAACAACTTGAAGATGGGTGGACTTCAACTCCCCGAATTCTCCACCTTCTCAACCTGAACAACTTGAAGATGGGTAGACTTCAACTCCCAGAATTCTCAACCTTCTCAACCTTAAGAACTTGAAGATGGGTAGACTTCAATTCCCCGAATTCTCAACCTTCTCAACCTGAACAACTTGAAGATGGGTAGACTTCAACTCCCTGAATTCTCAACCTTCTCAACCTGAACAACTTGAAGATGGGTGGACTTCAACTCCCCGAATTCTCCACCTTCTCAACCTTAAGAACTTGAAGATGGGTAGACTTCAACTCCCCGAATTCTCCACCTTCTCAACCTTAACAACTTGAAGATGGGTAGACTTCAACTCCCTGAATTCTCAACCTTCTCAACCTGAACAACTTGAAGATGGGTGGACTTCAACTCCCCGAATTCTCAACTTTAACAACTTGAAGATGGGTAGACTTCAACTCCCTGAATTCTCTACCTTCTCAACCTGAACAACTTGAAGATGGGTGGACTTCAACTCCCTGAATTCTCAACCTTCTTGAGTTGAAGATGGGAGGACTCCCAAACTCTGGGAGTTTAAGGCCTCTCATCTTCAAGTCAAGAAGGTTGAGAATTCTGGGAGTTGAAGCCCACCCATCTTCAGGTCACCAAGTTTGAGAAACACTGACTTAGAAGAAGACACCTATTTCCCTTCTCTTTGATCGGGTTGGAGTGAAACCAATATTGACACCTTCTTCAGCGCTTTGGTTCTTCAGCCCGGAAGCCGAGATGACATGGACCTGGGACACCAATTGGGGATAGCCACACATTCCACTCCAGCAGGTGTGAGGGGGCTCGTCCAAGGTCAGTTCTCTGGAGAAAGAAGATGAAAAACCCAAGAGATATCAGATATTTCGAAGACCAGGAAAAGAACCTCCTTTAGAAGCAAGGACCCAACTGTTGTGGTCCGCCAGCAGCCTGCGGAGCTGGTAGCAGAGTCGGACAGTGAGGAGGCTGGGGAGGACCATGGGCCAGTCCTGGAGTCTGGGGAAGGCTCGGACGAGGGCTCTGTGTCGGAGCCAGAGAAAAGGCCATCTGGGAGGTATGTGCTGCCTCCGGAGCCTCCAGAGTTGGACATCAGAGAGGCAGAGGAACAGGGGGAGCATGTTCCCAGTGCACGCATGCGCAAAGCTGCCAGAAGGTAAGAACAGCTAAAACAAAAGGGACGACTCGGGAGTAAGGCTTGAAGATGATTGGCCCCTCCCATAAGACTTAAAAGAGGAGCAAAGGCCCATGTGCCTTTGCAGGAAGCAACGTTTGTTCATTCTGGGCAGTTTAAAGCCTGAAGCTCTGTTTGATTCTGGACTCCGTGTGGCTTTGCCAGTTAGGTCTTTGGCAGCGTGTCAAGGAAGATAACGGTGGGCGATTATCCCGAAGGACTTCTCCCAAAGGACTTTTTGCAATTAATTGGGACTCAGCTGTGAATGAACGTAATTCACAGCTGTTGCAGTAAAAGAGGTTTTTTGGGACTACTCGTCTGTTTTAAGGACTCAGGAAGCCTAGGTCACAACGCCAACCAGGCCAACCTTCACGCACAATCAAACGAAAAGGAGCTCTGAATTGTAGCTAAACAAGATAAGACACTGTAAAATGCAAAGAGGCCCTGTGGTGGGCTTAACACAACATGCGTAACCGGATCAATGAAAGACCGAGGGACTGCATTCGCATGACACGCGTAGTTTTAACCCTGGTTAGGTTTTTGCGGCTTATCCAAATTCTAACCAAACCTACGTTTGCACGTAGACAATAATTTAGGTGAATTTGGAGAACCGGTTAATTCTGTTTTGTGAATGTTGTGAAGGTCCTGAGTCAATATGTCAAGAGAATTCATGACTGGCAGAGACATAGTAACAAGGTCAGCCAATGAATAGGCATAGCAACTGGGTCAGCCAATGGGGACTGTTTGGAAACTGAAACAGTATTTGCTGGAGACAGCTAGGAGCCTGGGGGTGGCTTAGGCTTAGCTCAGTGATGGCTAACCTTTTTGCCGTCGCGTGTCAAAAGCGGGAGGAGCACAGGGGGGGTTGCGAGCGCGCATGCCCACACTCATAATTCAATGCCCCCCCACCCTGCCCCCCTGCACATGCGCGCGTGCACCCCCCGCATTCCGTTTTGGCCCTAGCAGGCCTACCTGAAGCCTCCGGAGGCCAGGAACGGCCTGTTTCCTGACACCCGGAAGGCCCGTTTTTCATCCTCCCCACGCTTGAGGCTTTCTTGGAGTCTGGGGAGGGCAAAAACAGCCTCCCCCACCCCTCGGAGGCCCTCCAGAGGCTGAAAACACCCTCGCAGACCCTCCACGCGAGCCCTTACCTGGCATCCAAAACGGGCTGCGTGGAGATTCCTGGGAGGGGTGGCGTGGGCGGGGCCAGCCGAAAATCAGCTGGCCGATGCACGCATGCACGCTGGAGCTGAGCTAGGGCAACGGCTCCCGTGCCTGAAGATATGGCTCCCGTGCCACCTGTGGCACGCGTGCCATAGGTTCCCCATCACGGGCTTAGCTTAACTGCCCTGTATAGAAGAGATTCTTTTTGTCTGTATTAAGCTCTGAGCTCTAAAAGTAAACTAACTAGACTGCTGAAATGAAACTGAAAACTGTTCTTTCCTCTGCTGCTGGCATTGTATGTGTTATTTTATATATAAAGAGAAGTTAATGAATCCTGCTGAATTGTGCTTTGTGTGCTTTCTGGATTTGATTTTTGCAACAAACTCTGACACAATTATGTATTAATTATATATTGATGGCTGTGACATGCCTCCAAATAAGATTTACAAATTTCAGCTGCTGCAAGCTTTTTTATTATTATTATTATTATTTTTATTTATATGCCGCCCTTCTCCGGAGACTCAGGGCGGCTTACAATGCGCTAAGCAATAGCCTTCATACTTTTGTATATTTATACAAAGTCAGCTTATTGCCCCCACAATCTGGCTCCTCATTTCACCTACCTTAGAAAGGATGGAAGGCTGAGTCAACCTTGAACCTGGCGGGATTTGAACTTGCAGTAATTGCAAGCAGCTGATGTTAATAACAGTGCTTTAGTCCACTGTACTACAAGCTTGCTGGATTGCACGAAGCCGACACAATTTTAAATACTGCTCTTTGAACATTCGGATCTTCTAAAACCCTATTATTAATACCCAACTTTGTGGCACCATCTCAGGAAATATCCACAGGAAGGTCAAAAAGGTTGAGGTGATGGGTACAACCTGTGCCTGGCATCTTAACATTTTTGGACCCCCGTGAAACCCACCCCCACCCCGCCTGGTTTCTACAGTCTTGAGCTGTTTCTAGAAAGGCTTCATTGCTGTACAATTTAGCAAGAAAAAAAAAAATAGAAGTACAGTAGGTAAAGATATTCATACATAGGTATAAAAATTTTCTTGCATGAGATAGGAAGGAAGGAAGGAAGGAAAAGGGGGGAAGGAAAGAAATAGAAGGAGAAGAAGGGAGGGAGGGAAGGAAGGAAGGAAAAGGGGGAAAGGAAAGAAATAGAAGAAGAAGGGAAGGAGGGAAGGAAGGAAGGAAGAAAAGGGGGAAGGAAAGAAATAGAAGGGGAAGAACAGAAGAAGGGAGGGAAAGAAAGAAAGAAGGAAGGAAGAAGGGAAGGAAGGAAAGGGGGAAGGAAAGAAATAGAAGGGGGAAGAAGGAAAGGAAGAAGGGAGGGGAGGAGGAAGGGAGGAGGGAAGGAAGGAAGGAATAAAAGGGGGAAAGGAAGGAAATAGAAGGGGAAGAAGGAAGGGAGGGAAGGAAGGAAGGAAAAGGGGGAAAGAAAAAGAAGGAGAAGAAGGGAGGGAGGGAAGGAAGGAAGGAAAGAAGGAAAGAAATAGAAGGGGAAGAATGGAGGGAGGGAAGGAAAGAAGAAAAAAGTGGGAAGGAAAGAAATAGAAGGGGAAGAAGGAAAGAAGGTGAGGGAAAGAAAGAAAGAAGGAAGGGAAGGGAAGGAAGGAAAGGGGGAAGGAAAGAAATAGAAGGGGGAAGAAGGGAAAGAGGGAGGAAGGAAGGAAAGAGTCAGGGAGGAAGGAAGGAAGGAAGGAAGGAAGGAAGGAAGGAAGGAAGGAAGGAAGGAAGGAAGGAAGGAAGGAAGGAAGGAAGGAAGGAAGGAAGAGAATATGAGGGGAAGGGAAGGGAAGATCAAATGCCTCCCAGATGGTAGGAAAACATCATGAGGCAGTGAATTCCAAAGGAGATTTCTACACTGTGCCAAGTAGCCCCTTTTTCTGATTCCCCTGATCTGCTCCCACCCAACCTCTTTCGAAGGAAGACTGAGGGGAGCCCCCTGGTCCTTACTGGAAGTCAGAAGGCACGTCTGTGAACTGCCTGAGCAGGAACTCGGCCACGTGGCCAGCCTCAAAAGTGGTCGGTATGACGACATAGCGACCCTCTTTCAGGTCCGTCCTCAGGAAGACACTTCGAGAGTTGATGTAGATGGAGCCGGCGACCTTGGACTGTAGGGCGTGCATTCGATACGTCCGGTTGAGTTCCACCTGGGTGTAATAAAAAAAAAAAATCAGAGAAGGAATTGGGAAAAGGATTGTGTCTGGGTTTCTCAACCTCGGTGGCTTGAAGATGGGTGGACTTCAACTCTCTGAATTCTCAACCTTCTCAACCTAGACGACTGGAAGATGGAAGGACTTCAACTCCCAGAATTCTCACCACCTCAACCTTTCTCAATCTTGACGACTTGAAGATGGGAGGACTTCAACTCCCAGAATTCTCAACCTTTCTCAATCTTGACGACTTGAAGATGGGAGGGCTTCATCTCCCAGAATTCTCAACTTTCTCAACCTCAGTGACTTGAAGCCGGGTGGACTTCAACTCCCAGAATTCTCACCTTCTCAACTTTTCTCAACCTTAGTGACTTGAAGTTGGGAGGACTTCAACTCCCAGAATTCCCAACTTTCTCAAACTTTCTCAACCTTGATGACTTGAAAATGGGTGGACTTCAACTCCCAGAATTCTCACCTTCTCAACTTTTCTCAACCTTGGTGACTTGAACTTGGGAGGACTTCATCTCCCAGAATTCTCAACTTTCTCAACCTCAGTGACTTGAAGACGGGTGGACTTCAACTCCCAGAATTCTCACCTTCTCAACTTTTCTCAACCTTAGTGACTTGAAGTTGGGAGGACTTCAACTCCCAGAATTCCCAACTTTCTCAAACTTTCTCAACCTTGATGACTTGAAAATGGGTGGACTTCAACTCCCAGAATTCTCACCTTCTCAACTTTTCTCAACCTTGGTGACTTGAAGTTGCGAGGACTTCATCTCCCAGAATTCTCAACTTTCTCAACCTTTCTTGACCTTGGTTACTTGAAAATGGGAGGAATTCAACTCCCAGAATTCTCAACCTTTGTCAACCTTGACGAGTTGAAGATGGGACGATTTCAACTCCCAGAATTCTCACCTTCCCAACCTTTCTTGACCTTGGCAACTTGAAGATGGTCCCAGAATTCTCCACTCCCAGAATTCTCAACCTTTCTCAATTCTGGGAGTTGAAGTCCACCCATCTTCAAGTGGCCATGTTTGAGAAACACTGCTCTCCACTTAGAACCGGAACGGTCCATTCTGGCCACCTCCAAACATCTAACAAGAAGTTGGTCATCAAAGCTTACCTTGAAGATGTCGAATCCTATGGCGAGGTTTTCTCCCTTCCCTTCCTTCTGGCTGGTCCGTTTGGGCTTTTGCTGGATGCAGACCAACACTTCGTCCTCTGCTTTCTTCACATCAAAAATATACTGGGTGAAAAAGAGAGGCACACAACGATCAGATCTTTGAAGTCAGTCAGGTCAACAAAACGAGGAGGAAAAAAATGTTAGAAGGTATAACAACATGGCTGGGGAATTCTGGGAGTTGAAGTCCACATATCTTAAACTTGCCAAGGTTGGAAAACATCGCTCTAATGCAGGGGTATCAAACTCAACGCCCGGGAGCCGGATCTGGCCACAGGGTGCTTAAATCTGGCCCGTGGAGCTGGCCTGGAAATACCAAAGAACCGGCCCGCGGTGATTCTGCTGGCTAAAACGGGCCATGGGGAGGCCGCGTGTGACTCCCCCTGTGGCCCGTTTTTGGCCTCCAAGGCCTCTTGCAGCACTCTGCCGCAGCGGTGAAATGTAAAATTTGTTACTACCGGTTCTGTGGGCGTGGCTTGGGGGGGTTAATGTGACTGAGTGGGCGTGGCCAACTTTTTTTAAAAAAACTTTTAAAACTATTTTTTTCTACAACCTCTTTGGCTGAAGAGTTGTGAAAAAAATGCTTTTAAAAGCCTCTGACGATCCCAGCTGAGTTGCCTGATCGTCAGAGGCTTTTTTTTTTTTTTTTACTTTTAAAAGCATTTTTTCGGCCGAAGAGGTTGTAGAAAAAATGCTTTTAAAAGTAAAAAAAAAAAAAGCCTCTGATGATTGCGTGGCTCAGCTGGGCATGGGAGTGGGGAGGGGCAGGGATTTTTGCTACCAGTTCTCCGAACCACCCGCCGCCATCGCTACCGGATTGGGCAATCCGGTCCGAACCGGGAGCATTTCACCCCTGCTCTGCCGGCCAAAAATGGGCCGCCCATTTTTTATTTATTTATTTATTATTGCAATTTATATGCCGCCTTTCTCTGTGGGGGACTCAAGGCGGCTTACAAAATGACAAATTCCAATCCAAATCACAATGAAATAAAATTAAAATCAGCAACCCTATTAAAACAGTTTAAAATTATGACAGTGTATCCCCAAACGGATCAGTTGAGTTGACGGAAGAACCAAGTCTTCAGCTCGCGATGGAAGGAAAGAAGGTCGGGGGCTGTCCTGAGCTCGGTGGGCAATCCATTCCAGAGGGTCGGGGCTCCCACGGAGAACGCTCTCCTCCTGGGGGCCGTCAGCCGACATTGTTTGGCCGACGGAGTGCTGCAGGAGGCCATGGAGGGCGAAAACGTACCTTGTGGGGGCCTCCACGCACCCCATTTTGGCTAGCAGGATGCTGCCGGAGACATCCGTCCCATCTCTCCCCGCCACTCCCCTCCCGCTGCTCCCGCCAGCCCACAGAGGAGAACTACAATGCTGATCCGGCCCTCGAAGAAATCCGGTTTGACCCCCCCCCAGCTCTAATGCCTTTCTCGATCTCCTTCTTGACCTTCCTACCTGGGGGTTTTGCAAGAAAGTATCCCTGTTGTTGACGCAGCCTCCACAACGGTTCTTCAAGGGGTCTTCGTGCCGCGTCCAGGAGCCCTTCAAGACGGCTTCTTCCCACGTCTTATGGATGCTCAGGTAGGACGTGTTGATCAGGCGGCATTTGATGATGTCGGTGAAGTATGTACAGAAGTCATCAAAGGCCATCCTAGGAAAAAGGAGGACCGGACATCCGATTCTGGAATATCTCACCTTTCATTGCTCTATACAGGTCATCTTTCCTTGGCTACCCAAAGCGGATCTTGTATTCAAAAGCTTGCAGTTATCTTCTTCCGTCGGCCCAGAAGGAAAGCACACATTTTTCCTGTGCTTTCCCTAAGAAATACTCCGGTTGGATTTATTTTAAACACACAACTCATCTAAAATGTACTGAAATTTGCCTGCGATTTGGCAGTTCAAATCCCACCAGGCTCAAGGTTGACTCAGCCTTCCATCCTTCCGAGATGGGTAAAATGAGGACCCAGATTGTTGGGGGCAAGAAGCTGACTCTGTAAATCGCATAGAGAGGGCTGTAAAACACTATGAAGCGGTATGTAAGTGCTATTGCTCTTCTTCCTTCCTTCCTTCCTTCCTTCCTTCCTTCCTTCCTTCCTTCCTTCCTTCCTTCCTTCCTTCCTTCCTTCCTTCCTTCCTTCCTCCCCTCCCTCCCTCCCCTCCCTCCATCCATCCATCCATGGTGCACAGTGGTTAGAATGCAGTCTTGCAGGCTAACTTTGCCCGCTGCCAACAATTCGATCTTAACCAGCTCAAGGTTGATTCAGCCTTCCCTCCTTCCAAGGTGGGTAAAAAAGAGGACCAGATGGTTGGGGGACAAGAGGCTGACTCTGTAAACCGCTTAGAGAGGGCTGTAAAAGCACTATGAAGCAGTATATAAGTCTAAGTGCTGTTGCTATCTATCTATCTATCTACCTATCTACCTACCTACCTACCTACCTACCTACCAGGGGTGAAATCCAGCAGGTTCTGACAGGTTCTGGAGAACCGGTAGCAGAAATTTTGAGTTGTTTGGAGAACCGGCAATTACCGGCTCTGGCTGACCCCAGAGTGGGGAGGGAATGGGGATTTTGCAATATCCTTCCCCTGGAGTGGGGTAGGAATGGATATTTTGCAGTATCCTTCCCCTGCCACGCCCACCAAGCCACGCCCACAGAACCTGTAGTAAAAAAATTTGGATTTCACCACTGCTACCTACCTACCTACCTATCTATATCTGTTGGCAATTCGATCCTGACCAGCTCCAGGTTGACTCAGCCTTCCATCCTTCCAAGGTGGGTAAAGAGCCTTGGTAGTTCAGTGGTCTAAGGCACCCTGTTATTAAACTAGTTATTAAGACCAGCTGCCTGCAATTACTGCAGGTTTGAATCTCGCCAAGGCTCAAGGTTGACTCAGCCTTCCATCCTTTCTAAGGTAGGTAAATTGAGGACCCAGATTGTGGGGGCAATAAGCTGACTTTGTATAAATATACAAAAGGATGAAGGCTATTGCTTAGCGCATTGTAAACCGCCCTGAGTCTCCGGAGAAGGGCGGCATATAAATCAAATTAAAAAAAAAAAATGGGGACCCAGATTGTTGGGGGCTATGGGCTGGCTCTGTAAACTGCTTAGAGAGGGCTGTAAAACACTATGAAGTGGTATGTAAGTCTAAGTGCTATTGCTATTGCTAAAACTAAAACATACAATGAACGGTTGCAGGAACTGGGTATGTCTAGTTTAATGAAAAGAAGGACTAGGGGGAGACATGATAACAGTCTTCCAATATCTCTGGGGCTGCCCCAAAGAAGAGGGAGTCAAGCTGTTCTCCAAAGCAGGACAAGCTGTTCTCCTCTGAAGGCAGGACAAGAAGCAATGGGTGGAAACTCATCAAGGGAGAGAAGCAACCTAAAACTAAGGAGGAATTTCCTGACAGTGAAAACAATTAACGGTGGAGCACCTTGTCTCCAGAAGTTATGGGTGCTCCAAACACCTGAAGTTTTCAAGAAGAGGCTTATGGCAACTCGAAAGCAGGCCAGGGATGCTTTGCGAGTTGACAGCTGAATTTGATTAGAACAACATTTTATGTTTCACGGTGGAAAGCTCTGCCAGCATATTGCCTAAGATCGATTTACCAAACCATCCCCCTTTAATTTTCTTTGCCCACCAGGGATGCTCACCAAAACTCTCCATCGTCCTCCACGGTCATTCCGAGTTTCTCTCGTTCACTGCTGCTGACTTTCTGCCATTCCTCTGAGCTGGAAAAAGAAAAATAAGATTTTGGGATGGTGAGAACACATCGGGACCATGAAGGGCGGGCTTCAAATAATTTAACAACCGGTTCTCTGCCCAATTGCTGGGAGGGCGTGGCGATGGTGGGCGTGGCCTAGTCGGCCTCCTGCACCACCCTCGGAGCAAAAACAGGCCGCGGCTCCAGACCGGAAGTCCAGAAGACAATGAGTTCTAGTCCCACCCTAGTCATGGAAGCCAGCTGACTATCACCAGGAGATGGTGAGTTCTAGTGCTGCCTTTGCTATGAAAGCCAACTGGGTGACTCTGGGCCTATCATCAGGAGACAGTGAGTTCTAATCCCGCCCAAATCATAAAAGCCATCTGGTTGACTTTGGGCCACTCCGTCTCTCTCAGCCCATCCCACCTCACAGGGTTATTGTGAAGAAAATAGGCATATATCTTACATATATTCGCCCCCTTGAGCTGTTTGTAAAAACAGAATAATAGAATTTTTTTTTATTTATTATTTTATTATTATAAAAATAATAAAGACAGGTTATAAATAAATAAAATTGAGTGTTGCGGTGGCCTAGAGGTGGAGCTCTCGCCTCACAATCAGAAGGCTGTGAGTTCGATCCTAAGTAGAGGCTGATATTTATCTCTCTGGGCAGAATATCTGCTGAACAAAACTCCGCACTGGCGTCAAGAAGGGCATCCGGCCAGTAAACACTCAGCTCCATTCAGCTGCCCAGACTCCATCCCGCAAGGGATTATGGGAGGCGTTAAAAGAGGATGAGGATGATGATAAATAAACAAAATTAAAATAAACCTTCTTAATAAGCAAGAACAACATTCCCCAACCTGCGTTTGTCCCTGCATGAGACAGAAGAAAATATGGGCGCATGTGGACGGACAGTGCCCCAGCCGGACTTACGTGTCACTCCAGGGGCCGTTCCACTCTCGCTCCCCCCAAGGGTTCCTCAACCGGATCAAGTCCAGCTTTTCGGACTTGAAGAAGGCCAGCAAGCCGTGGCCAAGGCGGACTTTCCGGACGTCGGTGACTGCATAGGCGTGGCCTTTGACCAGGCCACAGCCCAGCCGGGCTTCCATATCGGCGGCTGACACGGCCTTGAAAAGAGAAAGCATGAATTTGGTGTTTTAGGGTAGAACACTTGATTTAAAAATTGATTTTTGAGACCCCGGTCAAGAAATTCTGGCAAGGATGCTCAAGTTGGTGAAATACTCCCAGAATCCCTCAGCCAGGAGGGGAATTACGGCCATTTTATGACTTGTGGACTTCAACTCCCAGAATCCCTGAATGAGCAAGGGAAATTACGGCCATTTTATGACTTGTGGACTTCAACTCCCAGAATCCCTGAACGAGCAAGGGGAATTACGGCCATTTTATGACTTGTGGACTTCAACTCCCAGAATCCCTCAGCCAGGAGGGGAACTATGGCCATTTTATGACTTGTGGACTTCAACTCCCAGAATCCCTCAGCCAGGAGGGGAACTATGGCCATTTTATGACTTGTGGACTTCAACTCCCAGAATCCCTCAGCCAGGAGGGGAACTATGGCCATTTTATGACTTGTGGACTTCAACTCCCAGAATCCCTGAACGAGCAAGGGGAATTACAGCCATTTTATGACTTGTGGACTTCAACTCCCAGAATCCCTCAGCCAGGAGGGGAACTATGGCCATTTTATGATTTCTGGACTTCAACTCCCAGAATCCCTGAACGAGCAAGGGGAATTACGGCCATTTTATGACTTGTGGACTTCAACTCCCAGAATCCCTGAGCCAGCCATGGCTGCAAACTTTTTATGCTGACTCTCCTCAGGAATTCTGTGAGTTGAAGTCCACAAGTCATAAAAGGCGCCATTGTTTCTCCACCCCTGGTGTAGTAGAGTAAGGGAAAGCCCACCTCAAAATTTTCCCCACCTCAATCCGGTGAGATCAATAACATTCTTCCTTATTCTGCTCCTGACCAGACCTGCTTACTTTGATGGAGCAGCTGATGAGACCTCCTCGGTTATGAACCTTCAACACCCGCTCAAAAAGGAGATTTCGTTTGGCTTCATCATTGGCGTAGCCTCCTTCGACCAGGTCAATCGGTTCCGAGACCCCCCCGGTAAAATCCACCAAGGCATCGCCCGTGTTGCCTCCGTCTAAGGCTTCGTAGCATCCCGAGAGTCTACGGGTGGAATAAGAAAGAGATTTCCCATTCAGAACTGTTCCTCACACTTATGACCGTTCCTCACACTTAAGACCATTGCCCCATCCTCATGGTCATGAGATCATGGGTTGGCAACGGGCATGTTCTTAAGGATGGTTGCAATGACCCCGGGATCATCTGAATAGCAATCTGAATAGAATAGAATAGAATAGAATAGAATAGAATAGAATAGAATAGAATAGAATAGAATAGAATAGAATAGAATAGAATAGATGGAGTGGAGTGGAGTGGAGTGGAGTGGAGTGGAGTAGAATAGAATAGAATAAATAATAAGAATAGAGTAGAGTAGAGTAGAGTAGAGTAGAGTAGAGTAGAGTAGAGTAGAGTAGAGTAGAGTAGAGTAGAGTAGAATAGAATAGAAGAAATAATAGGAATAGAATAGAGTAGAGTAGAGTAGAGTAGAGTAGAGTAGAATAGAGTAGAATAGAATAGAATAGAATAGAATAGAATAGAATAGAATAGAATAGAATAGAATAGAGGAGTTGGAAGGGACATTGGAGGTCTTCTAGTCCAACCCCCTGCTTAGGCAGGAAACCCTACGCCACTTCAGACATGTGGTTCTCCAACATCTTCTTAAAAATCTCCAGTGTTGGAGCATTCACAACTTCTGGTGGCAAGTAGTTCCACTGATTAATTGTTCTCACTGTCAGGAAATTCCTCCTTAGTTCTAGGTTGCTTCGCTCCTTGATTAGTTTCCATCCATTTTTGTCTTGTCTTCTGGTGCTTTGGAGAATAGCTTGACTCCCTCTTCTTTGTGGCAGCCCCTCAGATATTGGAAGTCTGCTATCCTGTCTCCCCTAGTCCTTCTTTTCATTAAACTAGACACACCCAATTCCTGCAACCGTTCTTCATATGTTTTAAGCCTCCAGTCCCCTCCTCATCTTCGTTGCTCTTCTCTGCACTCTTTCTAGAGTCTCCACATCTTTTTTACATCGTGGCGACCAAAACTGGATGCCAAATTCCAAGCGTGGCCTTACCAAGGCCTTATGAAGTGGTATTAACCCTTCACGTGATCTTGATTCTATCCCTCTGTTGATGCAGCCTAGAACTGTGTTGGCTTTTTTGCTGCACACAGCTGGCTCACATCTAAATGGTTGTCCACTAGGACTCCAAGATCCCTCTCCCAGTTACTACTATTGAGCAAGGTACCAACTATATTGTACCCATTACATTTTGTTTTTCTTCTGAGAAACAAAATCAGTGGGGAAGCCAGATTCGCTTAGTGACTGTCTCCCTTAGCAAGGGAGATTTGGGGCTCAGTTGCGGTTGCTAAGTTGAGGACTGCCTGTATGGGCATCAATGCCTCTTATAGCGAACATATTTGACAAGTGTCAGCAGGAGGTTTTGGGTTTTTTTTAAAATTAGATTTATATGCCGCCCTTCTCCGGAGACTCAGGGCGGCTTACAATGCGTTAAGCAATAGCCTTCATCCTTTTGTATATTTATACAAAGTCAGCTTATTGCCCCCACAAACTGGGTCCTCAATTTACCTACCTTTGAAAGGATGGAAGGCTGAGTCAACCTTGAGCCTGGGGAGATTTTAGCAAAAGACTAAAAAAACAAGAGGCACTTCAACAGAAGAAAATATCTGTAATTCAGGGTTGAACTATGCCGTTCTTGGTGCTTCCTGGATCTGGTTGTTTGCTTGCAGATGTTTCGTTACCCAGCTAGGGAACATCATCAGTGCTAGAAGGGAGTGGGGTTTTTTCTCTGTTTATATAGCAATCAGTTACACGAGGGACCACTAAGAACCCCCACCAAGAACCACTAAGAACATTCCCACCAACACCGACAGGGTAAGCCACTCATATATAGTATAAAAAACAGCATGCCCCTCTTCCTTCTAGCACTGATGGTGTTACCTAATTCGGTAATGAGACGTCTGCAAGCCGAGAACCAAGCCCAGAGAGAACCAAGGTTTGCACCAACAGCTTGTTTAGAGCTCCTGACATCAGCGCATAACCAGGGAGCCAGAACCGCGTAGGATTATATTAATCAGGTTGAACATCAAGAAATTGAGCTGAAGAATCTTGGAAACCCAATAAGCCTCGCTGACGAATTCATTTAGGTTAGGGGTGTCAAACTGGATTTCTTCGAGGGTGGGATCAGCGTTGTAATTCTCGTGCCCCGTTTTCAGCCTGCATGGTCTCCTGCAGCACCCTGCCGGCCAAAACGGGGTGCAGGGGGGGCGCATGAAGTCCCCTCGTGCCCCATTTTCAGCCTGCATGGCCTCCCGCAGCACCCTGCTGGTGAAAACAGGGTGCGGGGGGCCGTGTGAAGTCCCCTCGTGTCCCATTTCAGCCTGGATGGCCTCCTGCAGCACCCTGCCAGCCAAAATAGCACACGGGGGGGGGGCTCACGTGCCCCCCCCCATGCCCCATTTTGGCTGCTAGAGGCACCGCAGGCCGGCCCCACAAGCCACATTTAAGCACCCCGAGGGGCCGGATCCACCTTTTGCCAGATAAGATCTGTGGGACCCCCTAGGTCAGGAAAAGCTGATAAGATACGGAATCCCCGGGGTCTCCTTACTTCGCGTACGCTTTTTCCACCAAAGCGCACCACAGTTCGTTCTTGGAGTTGGATGGCAATAGATGAGTTGGTTGTGGAGGGTTGGCAGCCGGTCGTCGATCACCACGTCGATCCACCGGCCAAAACGCCAGAACTGGAAATGGAAAATCCCGGCATAATTTTGCGGCTTCTCCGAGGACCATTCTTGCTCTTTCCAATCCGGAATTACCTGGTGGAATTGATGGGAACAGACGAGAGAAAGAATGTTTAACAAACACAGGTAGTCCAGATTTTCTTTTGCCTTGGGGCATGTCCACCACATATGATGGTATGAACCCGTTTTCTGATTGCATTTCCAACATTTCTGGATGAAAATACATACATGGTTAGAGAAAATGATAAAGCAATACATACATTTAAAGCTAGAAATATTTTTGTTACCGTGTTTCCCTGAAAATAAGACCCCGTCTTATATTTTTTTGAACCCTGAAATAAGCGCTTGGCCTTATTTTCGGTAAGGTCTTATTATTTTGGGGCGTGTGGAGCAAGATGGGGCTCCTCTTGCCGGCTTTCCTGATTTAATTTAATTTAATTTATCACATTTCTATGCCGCCCAACTCCCGAGGGACTCTGTCTCACTAATCCTAACCAGAGGAAATAGTGGGACCAGCTGCTCATGGAGTTAAATATTTTCGGGGAGGCTTTATTTTCGGGGAAGGTTTATTTTTGGGGGAAGCCTTATTATCCACGGAGGTCTTATTTTCAGGGAAACACGGTAGGTATATTGCCAGAAAAATATGACAAAGGGGATGTATACTTAATACCACCTGTTTTGACAGCAGCGAGAATTGTATTTGCAGAACACTGGAAAAATGAGGAAATTCCTACAGATGAAAATATGATTTTAAAAAATATTAAATGGTGCGGAAATGGATAGGTTAACATTAAGGATAAAGGATAAAGAAGATACAGAATATTTTTAACATGGGATTTGCTTTACCCCAAATTAGAAGTTGGAAGAATACCACTATATACAAGTAAATATTATTATTATTATTATTATTATTATTATTATTATATTATTATTATTATTATTATTACTACTACTACTACTACTACTACTACTACTATTATTATGAATAAGTAAATTGGCTCAGCAACCCTAACCCTAACCCAGAAAAATGTATAAATAAAAATTTTTTAAAAACCCAACAACGCAGGTAGTCCTCAATTTACAACATTTTCATTTAGTGACCGTTCGAAGTTACAAGCAATTCTAGGATTGTTTTTCACACTTATGATCCTTGTAGCATCCCTGTGGTCACACAATCAAAATTCGGATGCTTGGCAACTGACTCATATTTATGACGGTTGCAGTGTCACGGGGTCAGTTGATCCCCTTTTGCGACCTTCTGACAAGCCACGGGGAAGCCAGATTCACTTAAGCATGTTATTAACATAACAGCTGCGGTGATTCACTTAACAGCGGTGGGAAGGAAGGTCGTAAAATGGGACACAAAGCTCACTTAACAACTGTCTCGCTTAGCGATGGAAAGTTTGATCTCAATTGCGGCCGTAAGTTGACAACTACCTGTAATTAATTAATATGCTGTCTGAATCCAGTTACCGACTCTAAGAATCCAGACTATGTATAACACAACCGCACACAGGCGTGGTATTCACCTGGTTCGGAACGGTTCGGGCGAACCGCATGTTAATTTTAATCTGGTTCGCCGAACCGGTTGTTCCAAGGACTGGCTGACCCCGCCCACCACGCCCCTCCCAGGAGTCTCCACGCAGCCCATTTTGGATGCCAGGTAAGTGCAGGGCGCACGCAGAGGCTCTGAGAGGGCGAAAAACGGGTCTACCGGAAGTACCGGAAGTCTGAAAACGGGCCCATTTCCGGCCTCCAGAGGGCCTCCGGTGCCTGGGGGAGGCTGTTTTTGCCCTCCTGGATGCTCCAGGAAAGCCTCCAGAGCCTGGGGAGGGCAAAAAACGGGCCTATCGGAAGTCTGGAAACAGACACATTTCTGGCTTCCGGAGGGCCTCCAGTGCCTGGGGGAGGCTGCTTTTGCCCTCCTGGATGCTCCAGAAAAGCCTCCAGAGCCTGGGGAGGGCAAAAAACAGGCTTACCGGAAGTACCGGAAGTCTGGAAACAGACCCATTTCCAGCCTCCAGAGGGCCTCCAGTGTGCAGGGGAGGCTGTTTTTGGCCTCCCGGAGGCTCAAGGAAAACCTCTAGAGCCTGGGGAGGGCGAAAAGCCCCCACCCCCGCTGTGGTGCAGGAGGCCGAGTAGGCCACACACCCCATGGCCACACCCACCCAGCAACCAGGCAGCGAACCGGTTGCTGAAATTTTTCAATCCCACCCCTGACCACACCCCTCAGTATTTTCTTTTCAAGTTGAATGAAGGGAAACGCACAAATATTAATCCTTTTTCATGGCTGGAAAAAAAAAACAGGACAAACTGTTCAAATATCCTTCTTTAAAAATCCATTAGTTATTGACACCCTTTAAAGAAAGAAAAAACGATTGAAACCACTCAGTGGAACAGAGCGATCCATTAAAAAAAATACCAATATTAATATTCACGCTGATCTCTTTTCACTTAAGAGCTGTCACAATAAGTAGGGGCAAACAGGGAATAAATTTCAAAAGGATTTTTTCTTCCATTAAAAAAAAAATCGATATGATTTGCCCTTTTGATAGAGGTAGGAAAAAAAAAGCCTCTTACAATGATTTGTGGAATGATTAGAAGTACATGCTATAATTTTTACCTTCTCCTTTGCCGGTGGTGCCAGATGAAAAAAGTAAATTAAAAACTGGGGGTTTTTTTAATAAAAGAAATCTGATTCATGGCAGAATTTTAGCATCCATAATAGTTAAAACTCACCAAGACTACTAGTTAAGGTTAGGTATATTTTAATATATTTTAATATATTAATCATTCTCTCTCTTTCTCTCTCTCTCTCATTCTTTCTCTTTCTCATTCTCTTTCTTTCGCTCTCATTCTCTCGCTCTCTCATTCTCTTTCTAATTCTCTCGCTCATTCTTTCTTTCTTTCTCTATCTATCTATCTATCTATCTATCTATCTATCTATCTATCTATCTATCTATCATCGATCTATCTATCTATCTATCTATCTATCTATCTATCTATCTATCTATCTATCTATCTATCTATCTCCCCCCTCCTTCTCTCTCCCTCCCTCCCTCCCTCTCTCCTTCTCTCTTTCTCCCTCCCTTCTCCTTCTCTCTCCCCCTCCCTCTCTCTCTCTCCCTCCCTCCCTCTCTCAGTGGTGAGAGTGCAGTACTGCAGGCTACTTCTGCTGACTGCCGGCTGCCAGCAGTTTGGCAGTTCGAATCTCACCAGGCTCAAGGTTGATTCAGCCTTCCAAGGTGGGTAAAATGAGGACCCGGATGGTTGGGGGCAAGAAGCTGACTCTATAAACCGCTTAGAGAGGGCTGGAAAGCACCGTGAAGCGGTATATAAGTCTATTGCTATTGCTAATATATTTTGCATCCGTAGATAACCTATATTCGCACACATCTGCGCCCTCTGCCTTTTATCTCCAGAGGTAGAGTGGGGCTTCACTAGCAGCGGTGGCTCTTCCGTCCCGAGGACCGGCCCATAGATTTCCACTGCTCTCCTCTCCTCTGCCTTCTGCAAATCAGGCACAGGACCCAGCTGTTCCTCCTCCTCCTCATCAGCCACCTCCAGACTTGGAGGCTGTTGACTCTCCATCTGAGGGCTGATGGACAGGCTCTGCCTCTGTTTCCCTTTCGGACAGCTCCATTCCCTCTTCCCACTCAGGTTTCCCTGATGCTGACCCCGACTCCCACGCCTCCTCCTCCTCCTCCTCTGATTCGGCTGCTGGAGGGGCTGGCGGCCAACAGGCCACATCACACCGTCATTCGAACACGGCAATGAAACACAAATCAGAAATATGTGATCTTTTTTCCTGTTTTTATTAATAGAGTGCTTTTTGGAAAGTACATTTGAAGAGTACAAGTAGTCATTAACGATTTTTATTTTCCAGTCCAGAAGAAAAGAACCTCTTAAATTAAAGAGAAGACTGTGACTTTGTTATGACCCAGGAGGAGAGTTTAAGATTGTAAATTTCAGTTCGGACGTTAAGATGAGGACGGAAGAAATCTTCACAGGTAGTCCTTGACTTACAACAGTTCATTTAGTGACTGTTCAAGCACAGAAAAAAGGCACTTATCGTTGTTTTTCACACTTACGACCGTTGCAACATCCCCGTATCATGTGATCGGCAATCGACTCATATTTATGACGGTTACAGTGTCCCGGGGTCATGTGGTCCCATTTTGCGATCTTTTGACAAGCGAAGTCAAATAGGGAAGCCAGATTGACTTAACAAACATGTGACTCACTTAACAACTGTGGCAAAAGAAAGGTTGTAAAATGAGGCATAATTCACTTAACAAGTGTTTTGCTTAGCCATAGAAAAGTTGGGTTCAATTGTGGTCGTAAATCGAGGACTACCTGTAATTTATCAATTATCAAAAAGGCTATTTTTTTTTCTATCAATCAAAATATGACACAATGTTTTCCTTTGGTATAGATTTTATAATATTGTACAAGAATATATCATTGTTATGGCTAATTTGATATTTTTTCATATATATATATGAAAGATACATGCAGGTGATTAATATATTCATTCTTGGGAGGATTGTTTTCTGTTTTATTCCAGTAATAAATCTAATAATTTTAATATTTATGCTAAATTATATTATCTCCTAAGGCATCTGCAGATTACTTTTCAAAAATCTGATTTTTTAAAATTAAAAATTGCAATAAAACATTTTTAAAGGAAAGCGAACACAGAAAACCCAACATCGCGAGCTGAAGGCAAGCACCCTAGTTTATAACACCACGCATTTACAAGTAGTCCTCGACTTACAACAGTTCATTTAGTGACCGCTCAAAGTTACAACGGGATTGAAAAAAGTGATTTATGACCATTTTTCGCACTAATGACCGTTGTAGCATCCGCAGGATCACATGATTAAAATTCAGACACTTGGGAACCGATTCACATTTATGACGGTCGCAATGTCCCGGAGTCACGTGATCTCTTCTTGCGGCCTTCTGATTAGCAAAGTCAATGGGGGAAGCCAGATTCACTTAACAACCGGGTGACAAATTTAAGAACTTCAGTGATTCGCTTAACAACTGTGAAAAGAAAAGTCATAAAATGGGGCAAAATTCGCTTAACAACCGAAATGTTGGACTCAATTCTGGCCATAAGTCGAGGACTACCTTTAAGAGGTGTGGACTTCAATTCTCAGAATTCCCCCACGACGCGTCTTCAAATTGCTACGGCTGAGAAACACTGCAAGCAGCAATTAATACTGTATTCCTAAGCATATTCTAAAAAAGCCACCGCAGCTCGCATAGCTAAAAAAAACAACCTTTCCTTGCCACTCCAACAACTGAAATGTCCAGCGCTTTAAAGCTTGACTTTTCTCCTAAGGGAGACATCGCTTCGTCTCTTGAAAAAGTTCGTTTTTGGAACAGCATCTATAGGAGCATCTCAGGTCTTAGCACCATGCACCTGAGGGAGGGAGAGAAGGAGGGAGGATGGAAAGGAGAAAGAGTAGGAGAAAGAACAGGAAGGAAGGGAGGGAGGGAGGGAGGAAATGGCAGAGAGGGAGGGAAAGAGGCAGGGAGGAAAGGGAAGGGAAGGGAAGGGAAGGGAAGGGAAGGGAAGGAAAGGAAAGGAAAGGAAAGGAAAGGAAAGGAAAGAAAGGAGGAGGGAGGGAGGAAAGGAAGGAAGGAATGAGATGGCAGGGAGGGAGGGAAAGAGGCAGGGAGGAAAGGAAAGAAAGAAGAAGGGAAGGAGGAAGGAAGGAAGGAAGGAGATGGCAGAGAGGGAGGGAGGAAAGGAAGGAAAGGAGGGAGGGAGGGAGGGAGGGAAGGCAGGCAGGAAGGAAAATGGCAGAGAGGGAGGGAGAAAACAACGCAAAGGGAGGGAGGGAAGGAAGGAAGGAGATGGCAGAGAGGGAGGGAAAGAGGCAGGGAGGAAAGGAAAGAAAGAAGAAGGGAAGGAAGGAAGGAAGGAAGGAAGGAAGGAAGGAAGGAAGGAAGGAAGGAAGGAAGGAAGGAAGGAAGGAGATGCCAGAGAGGGAGGGAGGAAAGGAAGGAAAGGAGGAGGGAGGGAGGGAAGGCAGGCAGGAAGGAAAATGGCAGAGAGGGAGGGAGAAAACAAAGGAAAGGGAGGGAGGGAAGGAAGGAAGGAGATGGCAGAGAGGGAGGGAAAGAGGCAGGGAGGAAAGGAAAGAAAGAAGAAGGGAAGGAAGGAAGGAAGGAAGGAAGGAAGGAAGGAAGGAAGGAAGGAAGGAAGGAAGGAGATGCCAGAGAGGGAGGGAGGAAAGGAAGGAAAGGAGGAGGGAAGGCAGGCAGGAAGGAAAATGGCAGAGAGGGAGGGAGAAAACAAAGGAAAGGGAGGGAGGGAAGGAAGGAAGGAGATGGCAGAGAGGGAGGGAAAGAGGCAGGGAGGAAAGGAAAGAAAGAAGGAAGGAAGGAAGGAAGGAAGGAAGGAAGGAAGGAAGGAGATGGCAGAGAGGGAGGGAGGAAAGGAAGGAAAGGAGGAGGAAGGGAGGGAGGGAAGGAAGGAGATGCCAGAGAGGGAGGGAAAAAGGCAGGGAGGAAAGGAAGGAAAGAAGGAGGGAGGGAGGGAGGGAAGGCAGGAAGATGGCAGAGAGGGGGGGAGGAGGGAGAAAATGAAGGAAAAGGGAGGGAGGGAAGGAATGGAGTAGAGACAGGAGGGAGTAGAGGAAGGAAGGAAGGAAGAAAGAAAGATCTAATACGGGGCAACTGCCAAAATTCAACCTAGATGGGGGTTACAGAGCAGGAAGAAATTATCCCTGGTTTCTTAAGAGGCATTAAGAGAGGATTGAAAACTACAGATAGTCCTCAACTTACAGTATGACCAGTCATTTAGCAACGGTTCAAAGTCACAATGGGCCCTGAAAAAAGCAACTTACGGCTGGTCCTTGCACTTACGACCATTGCAAAATTCGGGCAGCTGGCAACAAGCATGTATTTATGACGGTTGCAACATCCCAGGGTCCCGCAATTGCCACCCAACCAGCAAAGTCAATGGGGGAAGCTGGATTCACTTATCCATCACACGATCCACTTAACGACCCGAGATTCACTTAATGACCGCAGTAAAATAGAGTGTAAAATCAGGCACGACTCACTTAACAATCACCTTGCTTGTGGTTGTAAATCGAGGACTACCTGTAATTTTAAGTAGAAAGCCACACGTAAAGGAATACGCTTCCGGCTCCCGGCAATTCCCCCGTATGTTGGACTCCATCCATGCCAGGATAACAACCCAGTAATTTTCTGGAAGGAAGGAATGTTTCAAAGAACTCTATACCCTAGGCACACAACTTTCTTCTTCTTTCAATGACCCCATAATCCCTTGCAGGATGGAGTCTGGGCGATTGAATGGAGCTAGCAGAGTGTTTTACTGGCCGGATGCCTTTCCTGTCTCCAGTACGGAGTTTTGTTCAGCAGATAGATTCTCAGTGTGGCCCAGAGAGAGAAATATCTGCCTCTACCTAGGATCGAACTCACGGCCTCCTGATTGTGAGGCGAGAGCTCCACCTCTAGGCCACTGCACTGCTCCCTAGACACCCAACACTCTCAGATTATCTCTCCCCCCTCCCTCCCTTCTTTCCTCCCTTCCTCCCTCTCTCTCTTCTCTCCTTTACATTCAATGTGTCCTTAAGCAGCTAGGGATCCAACCCATACAGAATTAATACTCTCTCCCGCACTGCGATTCGAAAACCGCTGGCTTATTCCCGCAGCCACAATGCGGGAGGTACACAAGAACACAACACCTCCCTTTCGGTCTCGTTCACACCGTGTTGACAAAGAGGACTGGAGTCCTTGGTGGTCTCAGCTTGGCGGTTTTTCTGCAGACGTTTCATGACCCAACGAGATAACATCATCAGTGGTAAGACAGGAGAACTTGCTCATAAGCAGAAAACTTCTCAGAAAGTCCCAGAAAAACAACTCCCAATGGATTCCGGCGTTCGTGATTCTCCCCGTCTGGAAAGGCTTCCCAAAGTTTGGGTGAGAAGGAAGAGCCATCAAAAGGCCGAAGCACTTGGCCAAATTCGGAGGGGCAAAAAATAAAAAAGAAAAGAAAAAAGAACATTTGACCTCATAGGGGGTTGAACTATCAATCAATCCATCAGGATAGAGGTGGAAGGGACCTTGGAGGTCTTCTAGTCAAATCCCAATACCATTGAAGACAAATGGTTGTCTAGTTTCTTCTTAAAAACTGGAAAACCCACAACTTCTGGTGGCAAGCTGTTCCGCTGGTTAATTGTCCTCACTGTCAGGAAGTTTCTCCTTAATTCCAGGTTGCTTCTCTCCTTGATTAAGTTTCCATCCGTTGTTTCTTGTCCTGCTTTCAAGGTGCTTTGGAGAATAATTTGACCCCCCTCTTCTTTGTGGCAGCCCCTCAAATACCAGAATACTGTTTTCACGTCACTCCTAATCCTTCCTTTCATTAAACTCGACATACCCAATTCCTGCAAACATTCTTCGTATACTTTACTCTCCAAGCCCTTCATCATCCTAGTTGCTCTTCTCTGCACTTTTTCCAAAGTCTCGACATCTTTTTGACCAAAACTGGACCCTGTAGTCCAGGTGGGGTCTTATTAAGGTTTTATTAAGTGGCACCAATACTTCACGTGATTAATAGAACTAAAGACGTCCAAAATCCCTTCCAACTCTGTTTATTCTGTATTCAAAGTGCCTCAAGCAAACCAGTCAATTTTGGGTGCCTCCAAGCGAAACGATTTCTCAGATCAAGCAAAAGATGCTGTGTTGAGCTTTTCGTTCTACCTCCGTCAATCAAGCAGAAAATGTTTTTAAAAGCTTCTTTCCAAACCTCAGATTCGCACAAAGGGAGGGGGGGGAAATCACTGCTTGCCATTTAAAGGAATTGAATGCACTATGTAGCAAAGCACTCGTTTTGAGTGGTGGCAAATCTTTTATTTTCCTGGAAAAGCAAGCAAGGGGATGGAAGTGATCTCGAGATCCTGAAGTTCAGATCGAAATCTAGCTACGGATCTACCAGAAAGTCAAGCTGTTACCTCTGGTCTTCAGGTCCCAGTTTAGGAAAATGTGCCAATTTTGCAAAAGAGGGGAAAAGAGGGCACCTGTTTTAATACTTGCATGCTTAACGTGCTCTGATCGATGGTGGGTTTGGTAGTGCTGGAGAACATAAAATAAGTTAGGAAAACTTTTGATTAAGAAAAGTTTTCTCAGCCTCCATGAAAATTAGGGCTTACTTCGAAAGAAAGTTTTAAATGATCAAGCACCTGGATTTAGGCAATGCTGCCCCTTTTGAGAAGCGCGCAGATTACTGCAATAAATCGGATCGAAGGAATATCAAGATATGCCTTTTTTTTCACATCCAGCCCTGCTAGGTAGGCTTCTGAGACAGTCCATGAGCCTAATAATCTTCTTTTCTGGAGGTCTTGAGTGCGGTGGGGAATCGCTCCAAATTTTCAAAGGCTCCTTCTACACAAGCCAGCTCGGTTTTTGTTTGGAGAGGCGATAGTGAAACGGATGGCCTATATACATTGAATTTTTTTAAAATGAAAAACTTTTGGAGAACATCTTCAACGTTTCAAACAGCAGATTTCCCAGCCTAGCGAGGGGAGGTGGTGTTCCTTAAGTCCTCCTTAGAGCCGATCTAAGGTCAAGCTGAAGGTCAAGGAAGGTCAACGTGAATTCTGCATTTCGAAAGCGTGTCTGGTTTCAAAACTAAAGTCACAGTTGGTGCTGCAGAGCCCAAAACAAAAGGAAAGATTATTTCAGAGGGGGGGAAAAAAAGCCACCGAGGAGACGTGGTAGGACCACCAGAATTCAGATTTTGAATATCACGGAGCATTTCAGGTGAGCTGGCTCCAGACCGTCGCTGAAGGCCACTAGGAAATACATCACTTTCCGGATTTTGGCCAGCTCCACCAACCTTTCTCCAAACTCCAGGGCGTCGGCTTCGTTGCAGTCCACCACATCGGGCGCATCCGGCTTCTTCCAAAACACTCCCACCGGATCTAAGAGCTGCCTTCTCATGAGGTTAGTCAAGTCCGGCGTCCAGTGTTGAGATGTCCCGATAATGGTGGCCTTGCCCGGCTGGTCCAGAATCACTTTCCAGTTCTGGAAACGGAGACCGTGTTGATGGGAGAAGTCCAGACGGAACACAAATTCGTTATCCTGAAGGAGCTTCTCGCCGTCTTGAGGCTTCTCGTTTTTCTGCTGGAGGGTCGTCACTCGAATCCTCATCACCTCGGTCAGCTGGACATCTTGGACCAAATGCAGCTCCAACTCGGCTTCCTCGGAACTCATAATTCTCCTTTCTTTGGGGGGAGCTTCTGCACGGTTTGACGAGCGACCGAGGTTGTCTGGCAGGCAAAAGGAAACTTCCTTGTGTGTGTCTTCGCTCGCTGGCTGGTACCCCAGTGATGCTAAGCAACCTGGCCTGGGGAAGCGGGAAGCCCGAGGGGGTTTTCCTCTGGGCATCTCATTTTCCAGGGAGGGACACGATCATCGATGGTACAAGTCTCTTGATATCGGCTGCCTTAACAACCTGGGTTAACAACCGTTCCCAAGCAAGAACACGTTTAACAGAATAACAGAGTTGGAAGGGACCTTGGAGGTCTTCTAGTCCAACCCCCTGCTTAAATAGCAGACCCTCTACCATTCTGGATTAGTCTGTCCAGTCTCTTATTAAAAGTGATGGAGCATTTTTATTTATTTATTTATTTTTATATGCCGCCCTTCTCCGGAGACTCAGGGCGGCTTACAATGCGTTAAGCAATAGCCTTCATCCTTTTGTATATTTTATACAAAGTCAGTTTATTGCCCCCCACAAACCGGGTCCTCAATTTACCCACTTTAGAAAGGATGGAAGGCTGAGTCGACCTTGAGCCTGGTGAGAATTGAACTCGCAGTAATTGCAGGCAGCTGGATGTTAAATGCTGCTTTACAACTTCTGGAGACAAGCCGTTCCACGGATTAATTGTTCTCCCTGTCAGGAAATTTCTACCTTAGTTCTCAGTTGCTTCTACAGATGATACAGATTAACAGAGTTGGAAGGGACCTTGGAGGTCATCTAGTCCAACCCCCGCCTTCCCAAGCAGGAGACCCTACACTATTTCTGACCGATGGCAGTCCAGTTTCTTCTTGAAAGCCTCCAGGGATGAAGCAACTAACTTCCAAAGGCAACTAATGTTCCACTGGTTGATTGCTCTCACTGTCATAAAATGTCTCCTTATTTCCAGGTTGAATCTCTCCTTTATCAGCTTCCATCCATTATTCCTTGTCTGGCCTTCAGGGGCTTTGGAAAATAGCTTGACCCCCTTCCTCCTCTCTGTGTCAGACCCTCAAATATTGGAAGATGCTATCATGTCTCCCCTGGTCCTTCTCTTCTCTTCACTAGACTAGCCGTGCCCAGTTCCTGCAAGCGTTCATCGTATGTTTGAACCTCCAGTCCCCTCATCATCTTGGTTGCTCTTCTCTGCACTCTTTCTAGAGTCTCAACATCCTTTTTTATAGTGTGGTGACCAAAACTGGATGCAGTGTGGTCTTACTTCTCTCCTTGATTAGTTTCCATCCATTGCTTCTTGTCCTACCTTCAGGGGCTTTGGAGAATAGGTTGACCCCCGTTCTTCTCTGTGGCACCCCTTAAATATTAGAAGACTGCCATCATGTCTCCCCTAGTCTTTCTTTTTATTAAACTAGGCATACCCAGTTCCTGCAACTGTTCATCGTATGTTTTAGCCTCCAGTCCTCTCTATTTATCCTGGTTGCTCTTCTCTGCGCTTTTTCCAGAGTCTCAACATCTTTTTTATAGTGTGATGACCAAAACTGGATGTAGGATTCCAAGGATGTTATAAAACAGCACTAAACCCTTCCTGTGATCTTGATCCTATCCCTCAGAAGAGCCGTCCAACTGAATAGCATTCCCAAGATGGGTTAAAATTCAACTTTGTGGTCAAAGGGCGGAGGGAAAGGAGAGATGTTGAAGAAGGCTTTTTATAAGGGTTAATTGCAAACCTTTTTCCTAATGGTGATTCCATTCAGGAAGTCTGCCAAATGATTCTGGGTTCCAGATTCTTTCAGGATTTAAAGATGGTTTACAGAAAACAATGCACTTTGCAATTCCACTCAGGGATTTGACTGGCAAAAACGCTTTCGGCTTTGCCAAAATGGGGGGTCAGGATTGGATGCTTTGATCCACGGCTCTGCTCGAGCAGGGGGTTGGGCTAGAAGACCTCCAAAGTCCCTTCCAACTCTATTATTCTATGTTCTAAACCTTCCCTTAGGAAAAGCAGAACTCGGTTCTCTGACTGGAGGCTAAAACATACGATGAACGGTTGCAGGAACTGGGCATGGCTAGTCTAGTGAAGAGAAGGACCAGGGGAGACAGGATAGCAGTCTTCCAATATTTGAGGGGCTGCCACAGAGAGGAGGAAGGGGGTCAAGCTATTTTCCAAGGTCCCCGAACGCCAGACAAGGAATAATGGATGGAAACTGATCAAGGAAACTGATTCAACCTGGAAATAAGGAGAAATTTTCTGACAGTGAGAACAATCAACCCATGGAACAGAAGTTGCCTTCAGAAGTTGTGGGAACTTCATCCCTGGAGGCTTTCAAGAAGAGACTGGACTGCCATCTGTCAGAAATGGTGTACGATCTCCTGTTTGGCCAGGGGGTTGGACTAGATGACCTCCAAGGTCCCTTCCAACTCTGTTAATTTATTAATCTGGTTAAGGATCTCATGAATGGAGGGCATGTGACACAGCCCACGGCGAATGTGATCATGGAAAGAGGACAGTCCCTCGGTGTGCCACCTTCCGAGTTTCATTCATTAGGAGGTTCTCTGGAGATCTAGGCAATGGCGTCGAACGGAGGATTACAACACAGCTGTAGCACCACAACAACGCATTCTAAGTTGCATGGGACACAATGGATGTTGCGGTTCCAGCTAGTCAGTGGCATCTAGTCAAACTTCCCTGATATTTAGGAAACCTGGAAGCTCCAGAATTTGGTTATTTATGATGATTTTAATCACAAGTCGCCCTCGATTTGCAACCGTTCATGTAGTGACCGTTTGAAATGACAACGGCACTGAAAAAAGTGACTTGAGACCCGTCCTCCCACTTATGACCGTTGCATCCCCATAAGTCACGTGATCAAAATGTGGACGCTTGGCAACTGGCTCATATTTATGACGGTCCCAGTGTCCCCCTTTTGCGACCTTCTGACAAGCAAAAGTCAAAGGGGGAGCCAGATTCACTTAACAACGGTGTTGCTTATCTTAACAACTGCAGTGATTCACTTAGCAACAATGATTCACTTAGCAACCCGTGGCCAGAACAGTCATAAAATGGGGCAAAACGCACTTAACCAAGTGTCTTGCTTAGCAGCGGGAATTTTGGGCTCAGTTATGGTCGTACATCGAGGACAACCTTCACATTAAAATTGTATTTCTCAAGTTCAGCAACTTTAAGACTAAACTTTAAGCGCTTTTTTTAGTGCTTGTTCAGCTGAGAAAATTGTTTCACGCTTTTATGTTATTCGGGGCTGTACAGAGAATTCAGATATGTCTACGAACTAGTGTCTGAATTCCAACCTCTTTTTTTTCCCCTTTAATATAATTTGAATTTATTTATTTATTGTTTATTTATTGGTTCAATTTTATATGCCGCCCTTCTCCGGAGACTCAGGGCTGCTTACAATGCGTTAAGCAATAGCTTTCATAATTTTGTATATACCTGCTAAGGGGGGCTTTTGGCCCCCCCCCAAGCGGTGTTCTTTTTTATACAAAGTCAGCTTATTGCCCCCACAAACCGGGTCCTCATTTTACCTACCTGGGAAGGATGGAAGGCTGAGTCAACCTTGAGCCTGGTGAGATTTGAACTCGCAGTAATATAAATTGGCATATAAATTGAATTAATAAAATAAATAAAATAAAATAAATAAGTGTGACAAATGTTCATCGATCCTTTTTTTCCCCCCAGTGCCGTCGTAACTTTGAACGGTCACTAAACGAACGCTCGTAAGTAGAACATATGCCTGTTCTAACCATCCATTTCTAAAACATCCATATTTGTAAATATTCTGCAAGCTTTTCCTTTCAGGGCGACGAGCACAAGGAGAAGTTTCAAACTCCTTTCGGCGCAAAAGGCCACGGTGGAAAAAATCAGCGTTGAGCAAACAAGCCAGGAGGGATTTTGGGAGTCCAGAGAGGAAGAGGAAGATTTCAAATAATAGGACTCGAGTGAGCCTTCCTCCTCGGCTTGAATAACATCCCACAGGAGCAAAGAGGGAGGCTTGAGGATGTCGGTTGTGTGTCTCTGTGTTTGTGTGAAACGAAATACAGGTACAGGTAATCCTCAACTTACAACAGTTTTGTTTAGTGACAATTCAAAATTACAATGGCACTGAAAACAGTGACTTTTGATTGTTTTTCACACTTATAACCGTTGACAGTATCGGCAACTGGCTCATATTTATGACATCCCCTTTTGAGACCCTCTGACAAGCAAAGTCAATGCGGGAAGCCACATTCACTCAACAGCCGTGTGACTCACTTATCAACTGCAGGCACCCACTTAACAACCGCGGCGAGAAAGATTGTAAAACGGGTCAAAACTCACTGAACAAACGTCTCACTTAACAACAAACATTTTGGACTCAATTGTGGCCGTAAATCGAGGATTACGCTGTATATACCGCTTCACGGTGCTTTTCCAGCCCTCTCTAAGCGGTTTACAGAGTCAATCTGGGTCCTTGATTTACAACCATTCTTTTAGTGACCGTTCAAACTTACAACGGCACTGGGGAAAAAAAAGTGACGTGTGACAAGTTTTTCACACTTATGACCGTTGCAGCATCCCTATGGTGATCAAAATTTGGACGCTTGGCAATGGACTCATATTTATGACGGTCGTAGCATCCCGGGGTCCTGTGATCCCCTTTTGCGACTTTTTGACAAGCAAAATCAACGGGGACCGTGATACTGTCTTAACAACTGCAGTGACTCACTTAACAACTGCGGTGAGAAAGGTCACGAAACAGAGCAAAACTCATTTAACCGCTGTCTTTCTTAGCAACGTAAATTGTGGTCATAAGTCGAGGACTACTACCTGTATATCGATATAGTTAGAACCACAAACGGTACCCTCTTTTGAAGAGGTAGAATTTCGCCAGGTGTCCACCAGAGGGCGACACCTCCCTCCAGGTAAGGAAGGGAATACAGTAAAATGAAAGCAATTTTTTTCTCTCCTGGGTATTATCCTCAACTGACTTGCAAAATACAATACAACTAATTATCCATCTTTTTTTCCAACAAGCTTCCCAATCGGAAAAGGAGCACGAAATTGCATCCCACGGGGGGAAATTGCTTGCAAATCTATAGATCCGTGATGGCGAACCTATGGCACGCGTAGCCACAGGTGACTCACGGAGCCATATCTGTGGGCACGCGAGCATTGCCCTAGCTCAGCTCCAGCCCGCATGTGTGCGCTAGCCAGCTGATTTTTGGGTGTTTTGGGCCCACTGGAAGTCTGGAAACGGGCCGTTTCTGGCCTCCAGAGGGCCTCCGGGGGAGTGGGGAAGGCTGTTTTCGCCCTCCCCAGGCTCCTAGAAAGACTCTGGAGCCTGGGGAGGGCAAAGAAATGGGCCTACCGGGCCCACTGGGCCATTGTGTGCCAAAAACGGGGTCGTACAGGGCAGGGCGCATTGAATTATGGGTGTCGGCATGTGCACGCTCTACCCCCCCATGCTTCCCCCTCACTTTTGGCACGCGATGGCAAAAAGGTTAGCCATCATTGTTATAGATATTGGAAAATGTGCACACCCAAATAAAATATACCTGCAGTTTTTTGTTTGCATCACATTGTGTTGTGACTCCGACCCCCGAGGCCGACTTATCGGAGGGAGAAGGCTCCGAACATGAAGGAGAGGAGTTGGCCAGGCCTCCCTCTCCAGGACCCTCCTCTCTGGCAATGACTCAGGTGTCTCCCGAGGGAGAAGAGATTGGCCAGGAGCCAGGTATCTCCTCACAGTCGGACAGTGATGGAGATAAGTCTTGGCTGGATCCACTCCAGCGTCGGAGAGACAAGCGCACGCAGCAGAAAAGGAGGCGTGCCAGAGATTAAGCTGAGTCACTGGACCACACCCCACAGGGGATAAAAGGGGGTGAGGTGGCCATTCAGACTCTGTGACGGACAAAACTAACTACTAGCGAGTCACATTGTATCTTTGAAACAACGTTATGTGCCTTGGATTTAATACGGACTGGACTTGACAATTCTTGAACTGTGTGTATCTTGTTTGGGTTTATCTGTCGGAGGAACAACCTCTCCCTCTATGAGTAAAGTTCTTGGCAAGCAGCTACTGGGTTGCTGCCAATCCTCTTATCGAAAGAATTTGTTGTCTGCCAGTTTTATTTAACCCCTGGCTATCTGTTTGTGTGCGTGTGTGAGACGGGGACAGAACACATTGATCCTAAGCCAGTCCCCCTCTCTCAACCTAACCCGCCTCACAGGGTTGTTGTTGCAGGAGGGGGGAAGAAGGAAGGAATATTAAGAATATTTGCCACCTTAAGTTACTTCTACAGGGAGTCCTTGACGTAGAACAGTTCATTTACTGACCGTTGGAAGTTACGACGTCACTGAAAAAAGTGACACACGACGGTTTTTCACACTTTACGACCGTTACAGCATCTGCACGTGATCAAAATTCAGACACTTGGCAACCGACTCATGTTTATGACGGTGGCAGTGTCCCCAGGATCATGGAACCAACTTTTGTTGACCTTCTCACAAGCAAAGTCAATGGAGAAGCCAGATTCACTGAATAACGGTGTGACTAACTTAACCATTGCAGTGATTCGGTTAACGACGGTTGCAAAATGGGATAAAGCTCACTTAATAACTGTCTCGCTTAGCAACAGAGATTCTGGGCTCAATTGTGGTCGTAAGTTGAAGACGACCTGTTACGAGCCCAGTTCACACGACAGCTAAGTACCGTAGTGGCCAAAATTGTGGAAACCTTTTGGGAAAAGTGTATTTTCTAAAACTAGCTAATAACACCACTTTTTTTTGAAGTAGTAGTACCATAAAATTATATATCAATGGAAAGATAATTTAATCAAGAATGTCATGCAATCAGTTTTGTGAAGGATTTGCTATTAGAATAGCAGTTACAGTATAAAGAAGAAAAGTGAAACACGTAGAAAAAACGAGATATACAAAAATGATCACCATGGAAAACACGAGATATGCAAAAATTATCATCATGTCAGTTGATGCTTCGTTGGGTAACCTTTAGCATGAATTCCAGCCTTACAACGTCTTCCCATGGAGTGAACCAAGTCTTTGAGTTCTGCAGCTGTTTTAATGTGAAACCAAGATGGAATGATGGCTTCTGTTAACTGGGTTTTATTGCTGGGTCGCTTCTGACTAACAAGTTTCTTTAGTCGGCTCCATAGATTTTCCATTGGGTGAAGATCTGGGCTATTCCCAGGCCATTCCAGCAGTGGAATCTTGAAACTCCACAAAAAAAAGTGGTGTTATTAGCCATCAAACCTCAAAAATACACTTTTCCCAAAAGGTTTCCATAATTTTGGCCACTACTGTATGTTGTGTCAACACAGCCATAGGAGCAAATAAGATTATTTTTTTTCTGACAATTTCCAAACTGGTTACCTTCTGCCATAGGGCCTCTCTGGATGCCAACGCTGAGCAGGCAGCCACGAACCAGCAGTTGCCCACCTGCCCCTGATGTAAGTCATGGGAGCTGATTCCATCCACAAAGAGATGGGGGTCTTCACAGATGTCCTGCAAGAGAGAGAGAGAGACAAAACAGATTTCTTGGTCAAGGCCAGGAGGGAAAATGTGGATGCAGAAGTTCAAGACGATCTTAAGGCCGTTTCTGTCCCAATCTTCATCTTTGGTACGTGAACCTGGGAAAGAAGCCTTATGGATTTCTTTGCTGGCTAGAAGTTTGTGCCGGGATTTTGTTCTGGTTCATGGAAACATAAAAGCCCTCTCAATTTTGAACACTCCCTCCCAACAGCAACCATGCAAAGTAAGATTGGACTGTGGCTCTATTCCCACAAACAACTGAGTCAAGAATGTGGTTCAGTTCCAACAACCAACTCAACTGGGTCAATGCTGGGTCCTTTTCCAAGAACCAACTCAACTGGGCCAAGAGACATGATCCTATTCCAAGAACCAACTCAACTGGGTTAATGGTGGGTCCTGTTCCAAGAACCAACTCAACTGGATCAATGACATGTCCTATTCCAACAACCAACTCAACTGGGCCAAGAGATGTGGTCCTATTCCAACAAGCAACTCAAGTGGACCAAGAGATATGGCCCTCCTCCAACAAGCAACTCAAGTGGATCAATGACATGGTTCTATTCCAACAAGCAACTCAACTGGGCCAAGAGACGTGGTTCTGTTCCAACATCCAACTCAACTGGGCCAAGAGATATGGTCCTGTTCCAACAACCAACTCAACTGAGTCAATGCTGGCTCCTGTTCCGACAACCAACTCAACTGGGCCAAGAGATATGGTCCTGTTCCAAGAACCAACTCAACTGAGTCAATGCTGGCTCCTCTTCCAACAACCAACTCAACTGGGCCAAGAGATATGGTCCTATTCCAACAACCAACTCAACTGAGTCAATGCTGGCTCCTGTTCCGACAACCAACTCAACTGGGCCAAGAGATATGGTCCTGTTCCAAGAACCAACTCAACTGAGCCAATGCTGGCTCCTGTTCCGACAACCAACTCAACTGGGCCAAGAGACGTGGTCCTGTTCCAAGAACCAACTCAACTGGGTTGATGCTGGCTCCTCTTCCAACAACCAACTCAACTGGGCCAAGAGATATGGTCCTGTTCCAAAAATGAACTCAACTGGATCAATGATGTCTTGCATTTAAATTGAAGCCAGACATCTACAGATTATCTGTCTCCCATCTCAACCTGTGATGTAATGGATGCATCTCTGTTTTTGTGCATCGTAGAGACGTCCAGCTGGTGGCTAGAAACTCCGTCTTGCCAGCTCAGAGCTGAAAAAGCTTCTTGGATGAGAAGCGAAACGAGTTCAAAGAAAAAAATAAGAAAGTCCAGTTGCCACTTGAAAAAAAAAACACTTGTGGGACAACCATTACCTGGATGATGGAGAACCTCTATAGACATTTCCATTCGTTGCTTCTTGTCCTGCCTTCAGGTGCTTTGGAAAATAGCTTGGCCCTCTCTTCTCTGTGGCAGCCCTTCAAATAGTGGTAGACTGCTATCACATCATCCCTAATCCTTCTCCTCCCTCCTTAGACTAGATATACCTAATTTCTGCAATTGTTTGTCAAATATTTTAGCCTCCAGTCCCCTAATCCTCTTTGCTGCTCTTCTCTGCACTCTTTCTAGAGTCTCAACATCGTTTTTTTTACATCGTGGCGACCAAAACTGGATGCAGGATTCCAAGTGTGGCCTTATAAAGTGGTATTAACACTTCACGTGATCTTGATTCTATTCCTCTGTTAATGCAGCCTAGGATTGTGTTGGCTTTTTTTGACTTTTATTTCTTTCTCGGACTCGGCACACTGCAAAAATAGGGTCCCTCTCCTTAGCAGAGACCCCCCAGCCCTCCTTAAAACCATCTTCATGGCCTAAATCCTAAATTCCTCTAAATTTCTATCGTTGTATGGGGGAGGGAGGAATAATTATTAATTGCGCATACAGAGAAGCTAAATGGGTAGAGAGAACAGAAATGAATGCAGTTTTGCAATTTAGCGACTGGTGACGCACTGGAGAACAATGCCTTCTCTGTCCAACACCAAGTGACCTCTGTCCTGTCATAAATCATTTTTCAGAAAAGTTGCATAGCAGTAAAAAAAAAAAAAAAACACCCCTAATTTTGTTCTTCACTTTGAAAATCATGAACTGCATTGGCAAGAATGCAGAATATCTGCTTTGGGGGGAACCGACAATGTAGAATCTCAAGTTATTGTGTTGTTGTTTTTTCTCATCTGGAAAATCTCCATTCATTTAGGAGAGGAATGTTGAGAAAGTCCACTTTTCACTAGGACACCGAAGGTTTCCAAACTTCTCCAGATGCATCCAAAAACGAGTGAGTCATCCAAAATGTCCTTCTCTTGCTAATTCAGCCCTTCAAACTTTGACCCACAGAGCAGAGCCACAAAAATAATTAGTGGTCTGGGGGTTGGAACTGTGGGATGAATTGCTAAAGGAACTAGGTATGTCTTTAAAAATAAAAGAGAAGGGCCAGGGGAGACATGATAGCAGTCTTCCAATATCTCAGGGGCTGCCCCAAAGAAGAGGGAGTCAACCTATTCTCCAAAGCACCTGAAGGCAGGACAAGAAACAACGGATGGAAACTAACCAAGGAGAGAAGCAACTTAGAACTAAGGAGGAATTTCCTGACTGTGAGAACAATTAACCAGTGGAACGGCTGGCCACCAGAAGTTGTAGATGCTACATCCCTGGAGGTTTTTAAGAAGAGATTTAACAGCCACTTGGCCAGAATAGTATAAGGCAGTGATGGTGCTAGTCGTTCCCGACTCTAGGGGGCGGTGCTCACCTCCGTTTTAAAGCCGAAGAGCCAGCGCTGTCCGAAGACGTCTCCGTGGTCATGTGGCCGGCATGACTCAACGCCAAAGGCGCACGGAACGCTGTTCCCTTCCCACCAAAGGTGGTCCCTATTTTTCTACTTGCATTTTTTTAATGTGCTTTCGAACTGCTAGGTTGGCAGAAGCTGGGACAAGGAACAGGAGCTCACCCCGTTACGTGGCGCCAGGGATTCGAACCGCTGAACTGCCGACCTTTCGATTTGACAAGCTCAGCGTCTGAGCCCCTGAGCCACCGCGTTCCTTTCGTATCATGAAATGTATCACGAAAACCACCTTCCAAATCCACGGAGGATCTGAAACCAACTATCTGAAGCAAAGCGAACCAGGATGAAACCGGATTAAAGGGACTGGATGGTTTTATTGGATTTGTTTCCTTTTTGTGTTTCAGGAGAGAAATAAACCAATCAACGTCCTCCGTTTAGAAATGCATCGCTTTGCAAAAGCAAAACCGAGGTTTCCCCTGCCGCCGTGTGAATCTGACATTTAGTAAGTAGGAAAAAGGAGAAATTGGAGGACTTATAGAATCGTTCGTGCATTCCCTCTTAATGAAGTATTCACTTTACAGCCAACCAATTAGCACTGGCAGCTTGACAAAAATCACAGAAGTGGTGGCAGATAACCGAAGGATATTGCTGACACACAAACACACAACCAAACACACAACCACACTTAAGAATATCCTGCAAGTGAAGAAGTATCAGCCTCTATCCACCAAATTAACTTATTTATTTAATTTATTTAATATAATTTGTATGCCGCCCTATCTCCGTAGGACTCAGGGCAGCTCACAACAAATAAAAGCAAGCCCAATAAAACATAAAATACATAAACGTGCACACATAAAACACATAAATGTACAAATATATAATTTAAACATATATTAAAACCCATTAAAATAAGCAAAAATCTAACTACAGGAAGTCCTCGACTATACGACCACAATTGAGCCCAGAATCTCTGCTGTTAAGCGAGGCAGTGAATTTGGCCCCATTTTACAACCTTCCTTGCCACAGCTGTTAAGTGAATCACTGCAGTTAAGTTAGGGACATGGTTGTTACGTGAATCTGGCTTCCCCGTTGAGTTTGCTTGTGAGAAGGTCGCAAAAGGGGATGCTGCAACGGTCGTAAGTCGAGACTACCTGTATTTTTTGGGGGGATGGAAAGGAGTGGATGCTAATTGTCAAGAGGCGTCCTTCTCCTGCGCCTGGGACAGGGTGGATTTGATTTAAATCAAGTTGATTCAAATCACGATTCAAATCACGATTTAAACCACGATTCAAATCACAATTTAAACCATGATTCAAAATCACGATTTAAACCACGATTCAAATCACTAGTAAAAAGGCTTGATTTAAATCCACTCGATTTAAATCATCATTTTTAAAGAGCAACTGTCATCTCTGTTCCTCAGCGGCTCCTCCTCTGATCGTCTGTTTAGCTCACCGACAGTCCCAATATTGCCGAATCTACAGCCTGATATGCTACCGAACTAAGCTCCATTTCGTGCCGAATAAAACTAAACTGTGAATGTATCTTAAATAGAAAACTATCTTTAGCTAGATTTTTTTTTTACTCCAAAAGCATTTTATTAAAATTAATTTGATTAAAAATAAAAAATAAAAATCCAATTTAAATTTTTAAAATCTGATTTTTTATTTTTATTTTTTTAAAAAAAAAAAATCATTGAGTTTTATCCCACCCTGGCCTGGGATCCATTGGGCAAAAATAACCCAAAAGCTCCCCATTTCATTCGATTAAAGCTTTGCTGGTTTTCACGTCAAGCCAAAAAAATCCCACAGCAAAACGAGTGGAGGAGAAATTCAATTTGGGAGGCTCAGCCAGGAAAGTCTGTTTTTCATTAAGGAGACACATGAGCAGAGTACGATCTTTCAAATGAGGCTGTGCCAAAGCTAAAAATCTCCTCCAGGATCCTCATAAATCAGAAAAAGGCAGTCTGGGGGCAGCGTTTCTTTCTCAGCCTCGGCAACGTTAAGGGGGGTGGACTTCAACTCCCAGAATTCCCCCACCCCACCCAGCATGCATGGATTTCATTGGGTGCTCTCTGAGCTGGGTTATTTTCTTGCAGATGTCTCATAACCCAACTAGGTAACATTATCAGTGCCAGAAGGAAGTGGAGTTTGTTTTCTGTAAGGAAGCCACTTGTATATAAACAAAAAGCAA